TTTCACTTTGCGAGTTGAATCAATGTGTATTGTTACTTTGTTCATGTCATTGCTTCTCACATTAGATTATGTTTTTTTTTTTGTGGAAATCATTTTGAAGCTTGGCACGTTAATGTTGTTGTATCTGTTCATTTTGGAATGGAAGTTTTTGAAGGAAGGTAACAGCCTGAAGAACCGCCTTTTCCATGGAGGCCCAACTATTATCCGGCTAGCCTTAACGGCCCACAGAAAATCTATTATGTCATCTCGTGAACAATGAAAATTTATCTTAGTTTGAAATTTAAAGTAGACTATATATGCATTGTGGGGATGTGTCTTAAATGCTAGCACTATGAAATAAAATTGTATATAACCATTATAAGAAGATTATACATTTGGCTTTCCCTCAACAAAAACTAGAGAAGAAAATGCTCCGGGAGATAAGTTAATATTAGTCGATGCCTCTCCCTTCTGAGCCCAACAAGTTTTTAAAATAAGCCCCCGCCATCCCTTTAATCTGCTGTTGGTTATAGATCCTCAACCCTGTATGATCCCTTAAGTAACGAATGGCATTCCAGGATGAAAAGCTACTCCCATCATAAAGCAGCCCATAACTAGCTCATGCGTAGGATACTAGGATCTAAGCCTACGACTCGTGCGTCCCGTAAGAGGGGCAAGAGGAAATAATATACCAATCTATACTATTATTTAAGAAGTAATTTTGCTGAGGTGTCATGTTCTCCACAAGTTTAGGTAATTTTGTTTATTTAGCATATTTATAATATTATATATAATTTATTTATAAATAAAACGAATTTATATAAATATATTATATTTTAGAAGATAAGATAATTATTTTGAATTATGTTGTTATCGAGAAATATATTTTAAGAATTATCTTATTATCTAGAAATATATCTTTATATATAAAACTTAAAAAGATAATCCTATGTATTATTTTTATTATGTTGAAAATATATTTTTCATTATAAAACTTAAAATTAAGATATAAAATTATATTATTAATAATTAAATTTATATTTTAGAAAATAAGTTAATTCTTATTTATTATTATTATCTTGAAAATATATTTTCTATTATAAATTTTAAAATTAACATGTAAGAAATCTATACTATTATTTAAAAAGTGAATTTGATGTTTGATGATTTGTCATATTTTCCATGATTTTAAGTAATTTTAATAATTTATCAGAATTTCTATAATTTTATATATAATTTATTATATATTTAAAACAAATTTAGATTAATAGTATCAGATTCTTAGAAAATAAGATATTCCTTATGTATTAAGTTGTTGTCTTGAAAATATATTTTGTATTATAAATTTAAAATTAAGATATAAAAAGTTGTAGTTATTCTTATTTATTATGTTGTTATCTTGAAAATATACTTTTATACTATATAATTTAAAACTAAAATAATCTATTATTAATTAAATATAAAATTCTCACTCAAGAAAAATTATTTAAGAATTGAATTTGCTGATTCATTAAGTTCTTCATGATTTTAGGTAATTTTAATTATATGTCACAATTTTTATAAGGGCAATTCTCTCAAATAGCCCTCTTTTAAGTTTTTATCACAAAAATAGACCTCAAAAATTAAAATGACCAAAATAACACTTTTTATTTTGAAAATTTTAAGTTTTTTAAATTTTTGTAAATTCGAAACCCCATCCTCAAAACCCCACTCCTCAACTCTGAACAAAAAAATCTAAGATTAGTTAACCCAATGGGTAAAAATGTATATTTAATAAAACCTTTAATTGCTATTTTGGTCATTTTAATTGTTAAGGTCTATATTTTTTATAAAAACTTTTTTAGGGTTATTTCAGTCATTTTCTATTTTTTATAATCTTATATAATTAAAAAATTTATCATATTATATTTTTAGAAAATAAATAACTTATGGATTATATTTTTATCTTTAAAATATGTTTTCTATTATAAAATTAAAATTAAGATATAAAAATTAAAATTAAATGTAAATGAAGTAAAAACGTGTATAAATATTATAATTAAATATAAATCAAGCAAAATAATTATAGAAATATATTCTTTTAAATATTTCTGAAGTTTGAGTTTTGTCATTAATAATTATTTAATGTTTGATTTTTACTTTTTGAAAAGATAAATAATAATTTATTATGCTGATTTTTAAATTAATAAAACATCATCTAATAAATATTTATAAGAGAATTATGCCCGCAAGTGCGGGCAAAACACCTAGTAATATAAGAAAAATATAAGAAAAAAAAACGAATTAATATTCCTTTGGCAAGTTGGTACGTTTCGGAATCATCTTGTATTTTGCGATGCATATATATATTTATGTATGTTTTCACACCGAAAGAGCTCGAATCTTCTTTCATTTTAACATTCTTTGGCGCAAAGATTCAATCATCAAAGGGGATTTGTGAAGAGAATACATTCTTCTTTTGGCTCTACGTTTCGTACGAGCCAGCTAGTTAGTAGAACGCTAATTTTCTTATTGAACGGATACCGGTTTACGAAAACTGCTTACCCAAGTTATAACAAATTGTTTGATCTAAAAAATTATCGCGGACCAGGCCATGCAGAAACACACATACAAAACCATCTATGTTATGTTCAGAGTCAAATATTGTTCACGATTAATTAACCGCACAGAAATGTGAAATTAATAAGAATATTTCGAATGGTATAGAACAGCTCATCAACGGTTAAATGACGATCCAAACAACTGCAGCCCTACTCTAAAGTAATGTGTACAAGTAAAACTTGGGCACAGTCACACAGAATATAAAGAAGAAGAAAACACTCACATAGCCGTCATTTTAGCTTCTTTTTCCGTTAGGCATCTAATGTTTATCTTTCCATTTGATATTTTCTCGTAATATTAATAATACTTTTTGAATGTTCTTTCTAACCAAAAAATAATAAAAGAAATAAACTAAAGAGTCTACTTACTCACGAAAATACTATAAATAGGGAAGCAGATTTCAAGCATTTTATAAACGCAAACTAAACAAACACATACATCGATCAGACAATCAAAAACTTAGTACTAAACCCTAGCTAGACATCAGAGCTCATGGACAAGGTAATGAGAATGTCTTCAGAGAGAGGAGTGGTGATCTTCACGAAGAGCTCATGTTGTCTCTGCTACGCCGTTCAGATCCTGTTCCGTGACCTTAGGGTTCAACCAACGATCTACGATATTGAAACCGACCCAGACTGCCGTGAAATCGAGAAGGCTCTCCTTCGCATAGGTTGCTCTACAGCGGTACCAGCTGTCTTCGTAGGTGGCAAGCTCGTTGGTTCCACCAATGAAGTTATGTCCCTTCACCTTAGTGGCTCTCTCGTCCCTTTGATCAAACCCTATCAGTCCCTCCCTTACTAGCTAGCTAACTGGAGCAGTCAGAGATCCTCCGTGGCAATAACAACCCTTACAGCTAGAGTGTTAGCTCGATATACACAAGCTACTAGCTTAATATTCATATCATGAGGTCTTCTTCTGTCATATATATATATATATATATATTGGTGTATCTTCATGTTTCAGCCTAGTTAATTAATCAACTGGTGTATGTTGATGTACGTTTAAATCTCTGTTTATGCTAATGAAAAGAGTATTCAACAATTGTTAAGTTTTCTTTTATTTTTGTTCTGATAATACTATTATCATGGTTTTCCATTCACAACTTCAGTTTAGGATTGAAATATTTACATGTTTACTCTATATTTATGCCACATATTTACATAACAATATATAAGATGAGAATATTCATATTATATTGGCTATTCAACAAGAACATAATGTATGATTATGTTAACTAACCAGGCGATTTCTAAGTTTTGTTTTTCAAAATTTACTAACTTGTGATGAAGAACATTGTATATATATACCACTTTAAAATAATTATGTTACTATCTAGGGAAGTATCGGACGTTAACTTATAATAAACGACTTGCTGCTAATTAGCAACATGAACTCGTCTTCTGGTTATTAGAATTTAACAAATACTAGATTTCGACCCTCACAACCATGCGGGTATATTAATACGAAAATATTTGAAATTATATATAATTTGATCCTGTATGCTATCCAATTTTATAATAATTTTTATGTGACTTATAATATTATTAACATAAAATTTATAAATTTTTATTTTTGTAACAATTTTTAAAAATATTATTATGTAACATTACTAATTTATATATTTTGTTTTATTCCTGAATTCAATATATATGTAAAAAGTAAATTAAGTTGGATCTACATAATACATAAACAAAGTTTTGGGATATTGTTAGAAGTATTTTACATAATTTTAATTTTTTTTATAAATAAAAAATGAATTAAAAATTTAATTATATTTTATGATAATTTAAAATTTTAGACAATTAATTTTTCAAACTATATCTTGAAAAGATTCTAAAAGATTTTGTTAGAATTTTCTTAAAACTATTTATTTGTATTTCAAACAAAAATTGAATATATGAAAAAAATATTATAGTGTCATGTAAAATTTTATAAAATTCTAAAGATGGTCCAAACTAAAATATCATACATGAAATGAGTCATGACTTCTCTTTTAATATAATAGATATTAGGCATATTGGGGCACATTGATCTACCAATGCCGAGATTCATTGGTAGATAAGATTAGCCTTTAGGATTTGTGTCTAAAGTGTACATTTATCTTTTTTTATAACACTGAATTGATTTAGGAGTTCAACAAAACAGAAGAGGGAATAACTAAGAGAAAATGGGATGTCAATAGACACCAAACAAAAATGATAGGGATCTCACCAAAACTTCATTGCTGGACCTCCAACGCGAGTAGATGATGAAGCCACATCGGAGCGTTACGGGCGATGTACGATTGATGACGAAGGTCGCGCATGACGCTCAAAGCAATAGCCGCTGCAGCTTCATTGCGTTCGGGAAGGGCGTGATCCAAACTCCATGAATCAATCCTTGCAAGGAGGAAGAAAATGCTGTGACGAATATGACTGAGGCTAAAGTTATTCGTCGTGGTAAGAGCATCATGTAGGGTTGCAGAGGCAGTCTCAAAAATAATATTCGAGAAATGTAGAGTATGCAAACAATCGACTGCCCAAAAGAGAGCCCACAATTCTGCTTCTGTTTTTGAGCGCATACATGAGTAAGCACGACGACTATGCATAATTGTGGACCCTTTTTCATCCCGAAGGATCCAAGAAACACCCGCAATATGGCTTGAATTCACCCACGAAGATCCGACATTACATTTGAGGAAACCACTGGGTGGTTTTTTCCATTTAATAGTTTCCGAATCGACCTCATCTACTCCATCCTTCATACCAGTGAAAGTATCAAACCATGTGGATTCTTCCTCATAAGCTTTACTAGCAATGAAGGATGCCTCGATCCTCTTAGACTCAAAGACGAAAGCGTTTCTAGCTTTCCAAATTTCCCATAACAACCATGGGAAAACATTCTTTGTATGAATATCCGTAGAGGGGCTCTTAAGAATCTTGATCAAGTGCACAAAATTTAAAAAAGTGGAATTCCGAGAGAAACCTCCTAAAGGTACTGGAAAATTGGAAAGCTCCCATGTTTCTCGTGCTTTATCACATGTAAAGAGAACATGACATATACTTTCTGGACCATTACCACAAACAGAACATGTTGGATCAATTGGAATACCCCGAGTATTCAAGCGTTGCTTAACTGCTAAAGCACCAGATAAAGCCCGCCACATAAAATGTTTTATTTTTGGTGGAGCTTTAGTCTTCCACAAATCTCTCCACAGTTGCCGTTCAACAGGAGTAAGAGTGTGTCCTTGAGGTTGGTCAAAATCCACCAACGCCTCTAACAACTTGTACCCACTACGAGTAGAATAAAAACCATTCGTTGTGAAACCCCATCTGATAGAATCTTCATTTACCATTAATGGCTTAAGAAGAAGAATCCTTTGAACATCTTGTGGTGTAAAAGTTTCCTGTAGCAAGTTGATATTCCATTGATTTGACCCCTGAACTAACAAATCTGATACTTTAAGTGCTAAGTTTATCGAGCTATTCTCACGATACATTGGAGGCCGTGGAATTGTGTCGATAATCCAATTTTCCGCCCACACATTGGTAGCAGCCCCATTTCCAATATGACGATACAAACCCTTTTTGAGCAGTTCGCGACCGTGCATGATACTCCTCCATGCATATGACGGTCTTGTCCCCATTCCACATTCAAGAAAATTTCCAGTTTTGAAATATTTACCCTTTAAAACTCGAGAAACTAAAGACTCTGGATTGTTCCAAATTCGCCAAGCTTGTTTTCCTAGCAAAGCCTGATTAAAACGCCCAATATCGTGGAACCCCAGACCTCCCTGTTCTTTCGGTTTACATAGCTTTTCCCATGACACCCATGGGATTTTCCGCTTTTTATCCCCACTACTCCACCAAAACTCTATAATCGCACTCGTAATTCTTTCACAAAGACCTTTTGGTAAACGAAAAACTGACATAGCATATATTGGGAGGGCTAGAGCCACTGATTTTATTAAAACTTCCTTAGCTCCCATCGATAGCGTTTTCGAATACCACCCCTGTAACCTTCCTTCTAATTTTTCTTTGATAAAATTTAAAAGGTCTTTTTTTGAACCTTGAAAGCACTCAGGTAATCCCAGATATGTACCCTCACCACCCTCTTTCTCAATACCCAAAACCCCCTTAATAGCCTGTTTGGTATCCGTGTCAATTTTTTTTCCAAAAATGATAGAAGACTTTAATGGATTAATCATTTGTCCAGACGCATCACCATAAAGTTTGAGACCTTTCAAAATTTCTTCACTATCCCTGATCGATGCTTGACACAACAATAAACTATCATCAGCAAAAAGCAGGTGATGAATAGAAGGGCTGCCCGACGCTAATTTTATACCATGTAAAGTCCCTTTTTCTTCAGACCTATTTAATACATGGACTAAAGCTTCAGCACATAAAATGAAAAGGAAAGGTGATAAAGGGTCACCCTGACGTAATCCTCTTTCCGGTTTAATAAATCCATGAGAGCGTCCATTGAGTAATACTGAGAAAGTTACAGTAGAAATACAAGACATTATCCAAGCGACCCATTTACGATCAAATCCCATTTTCTCTAATAAAACTTCAAGAAAATTCCATTCTACCCGGTCATATGCTTTTGACATATCAGTCTTAATAGCCATACTCTCTTTACCAATTTTATCATTTGTACGCAACCCATGTACCAATTCATGTGCTATAATGATATTAGTCACTTTCTATGTGACCGTAGGAAGTGTACATTTATCAGCGCGTGATTTTTCTTAGCTATCTCCAATATTTGGAGCATATATAATTCCAATTTTTGTTTTTGAATATATGATAGCTAGCATAGACTGATCCACGCTGAAAACCGGAGAGAAGGATAAATTGGGCAATGCTAAAATATCAGTGATGGCCTAATGCGACTAAAGCAATTCGAGTAAGAAAAATAGAAGATCATTCGCGGTCCAAAGTGAATATATCATGATGGCTACAAGAAATCATTTGTTTTCTTTTCTTGAGAATCTCTCGTTTTCTTATTATAGAGCATCATTATTTCCGTATAGTTTCTTAAAGTTACCACGATGGCACGATTAGGTATACTTCAAAGTTATCGAACCAAAGCGAGTAAAAGCCTTCAAAATAGACCTTTCTGAATGATTCTCTTGAGTTCAAAAGTTCGAAGGGAAATAATAAAATTAAAGTAGAAGAGGGGTTTTACAAGATATATGGAACAACTTTTCTTGTCCTCCAACTACTTGGGATCTTGGGACTTGGGAGAGAATATAGTCGGAAGTTTTGCAGGACGTGTAAGACGTAGGAACCACATCGTTCACTTGTTGTCGCTTTTATATATGAGACCCAAAAGAATATATAGAGAGAATCTCGATGATTACTTATAAAGTGGTCCATTTTTTCAAAGTAAGGAAAGCTCGTGCGAATATTAGAATTCACCAAAGTGGAATGATGACAACATTCAGTTTCAGTTTAGTTTATACTAGTACGTATTCTCCAACCACAAAAAAGACACATTAAACTTTATCAAATTACAAGTTGAACAAAAAGCATGAAAACATGACATGAGAAAACACAGCAATGTAAATCTTGGTTTCAGCATCAACTATATATACAACCTCCACTCATTTATTATGTCATCTCTCGTGACCAATGATATATTTATCTAACATAAAACTAATTATACACGGATGTCGTAAGTGATCATGGATAAAATGTTATAGAACTATGCATGCATATATAGGAAGATTATGCATTTGGTTTTCCCCTTAGAAGAATTAATAGTATAGTGCTCCGGGAGATTGGTATTTATTAGTTGACATAGAGCAGGTATTGTGTAATCAATTACTATAACATTACGAATCAGCTGGATTTAGTACAAAGAGAGATGTAATTCACATCAGACATGCGCGATGTGGTACATAATGTTTCAACAAGATCACATTCAAAAACTTCAAGCACCACTGCATTAATAATCGGGACATGAAGATTGAATAAGACTAACCGAACAGAAAAAATTAACAATCTAACAGCACTAATAAGCACAACACTAAAATACTATAACATCCTCACTAGTGTATAGCTCAAGTACTCTACCGACGACATGTTTTTTACCGAAATGATATGACCTGAAAGAAGCAGTCTCGATTTCTGATTGTTTGCTTCTGCTATGCACTTTTATGATTCAAATTTTTCATTTTATAAATATTTAGATACATTGTTTGAATGATAATAAGCTTATGCAACATTAGTTTTGAGCCATATTGCAAAGTAAGCAAAGGCAAACCTAGATTATGGATCGTTGCATCTGTGTTAGTGTTCATCAAGAGGAGTACGCGTGCACGCTATCTCAATGGTGAAATGAAGTTTGACAAAGATTACCATGTACCCGCTGATATGTTGGAGATAGATAGCACTTATGTTTGTACTCATATTTTGCGAGCTAATTAAATCAATCAATCAGTCACGGTTTAGTTATACCGGTTAAGTTAAAACAGTATGGTTCGAGAGAAGTCTAATTAGCTGCATCGACGTAGACAACAAATTAAGATGATGATGAAGTAATTGAGGAGCGATAAGGTTTTAGTGGAGTTGATAAAATTGTGCATTTAGTTTTTATCTTTTAATATCGTGGGATCCATTCCAATTTTGTCTAGTAGTTTCATTGAAACGAAAGAAACAAAAAAACGAGCTCACTTTCGAGCATTCTAGCTATGTCGGTAACGTGGCAAAGTCGTTTTTGTATTCTTTGTTTATTTTCATTTTTGCCTTGTTTGTAAAAATATCAATCAAATCAACAACAAGGAGCTTTCCTTTTCTATCGTCCCTATTCGGCCACGATGTTTGGGAAATTTCTAGTATTACTTTTTAGACTAATTTAATATCGTCCTCTTCTTCTTCTTCTAGGAGCTTTTAATTATTTTGATATTATTGTCATTTTAATATTTGTTTGAATTTAACCAAGAAAGTATTTTAAGGTATAGCCTAATCCACAATGTGTGCAAGTAAAAGGTAGGGTTCACGGGAAGCAGGAGAGTGTGTGTGTTCCACTGTTTGGAGATTTAAAACTTCCTACCCACGGAAAGTTGACTTGTCAAAAGAATGTGCGTCACTGTAAACGTCATTTGGTTGTGACTTTTACACGAGCAAATAAAAAAGCGCTACTACCAATCCAAACCAAACCAAACCAAAGTAGTTGGAAGAAAATATCGCATTTCCTTCAAAAAAGATCCTAAAGAAGAAGGAAGATTCTTCTTCATCTCTACCACAGACAGGAAGGAAGAAAAGAGAGGAGCCTACTGTACTGTACTCTCAGTTGGTTTCTCTTCCAATGGAAAACGAAGAAGAAGAAGGATCCCATCAGCATCAGCAACATCGCATCTGCGACTATTGCGAGACCTCCGTGGCTTTAGTCTACTGCAAAGCTGACTCTGCGAAGCTCTGTCTGGCTTGCGACAATAAAGTCCACGTCACCAACCAGCTCTTCTCGAAACACTTCAGGTCCCTTCTCTGCGACACTTGCCACGACTCTCCCTCTTCCGTTTTCTGCGACACAGAAAGCTCTGTGCTTTGCCAGAACTGCGACTGGCAACACCACACCTCCTCCTCCTCTCTTCACAGCCGCCGACCCTTGGAAGGCTTTTCTGGCTGTCCTTCCGTGACTGAGCTACTGGCACTCGTGGGCCTCCATGACCTCACTGACAAAGCTCTGTTCCTTCCCGATTCCGGAGGATCGGACCAGACCCCTCCGCAGATCCTTAGCCTCAACGATCTGGTTGTTTCGGACGGGTCGAGTCACAATTACAGGGCCATGGATGTTCCTCCTCTCCCTAAGGTATATAAATAAATAAATAAATAAAACGGTTTCTTTTTAATTCGAAACGAAACATCTGTTTTTGAAAATTTATTTATTTCTGTGGTAGAATCGGCACGCCACCTGCGGGAGATACAAAGAGGAGATGATGAGACAGCTCCGTGAACTATCGAGATCGGAGCCTAGTTGTCTCAAATACGAGACCCTTGATGATGAACTCGGTGGATTCCTGTTTCTAGAACCGGGCAACGATCTGTTTTCTTCTACATTTGAATCTCAGGTGAAATGGTTCGAGGATCAACAGGAGGAAGACTATTCTCCCTATTTAGATGATGATAATAATCATAATAATGTGATCCTGAGAGACAGCTACACTCAACAACAACAAGACTCATCATCGTCGGTGATGGTTCCGGTTTCCACTAGTACTACAACAACAAGGTCGACGACACATGAGATCAACAGTCTTGAGAGAAACTCTGCTCTCTCTCGCTACAAAGCCAAGAAGAAATCTCGAAGGTATACTTCTTAACCTAACTCCTCCTCGTCTTCATTTAAAAAGAAACACTAGAATTAGACACTGGGGAATTTGTCAGGTACGAGAAGCACATCAGATATGAATCACGCAAGGTTCGTGCAGAAAGCAGGACAAGAATCAGGGGACGTTTCGCTAAGTCACACCCATAACATAATAATATCCTTGATGATGATGATGATGATAGTGAGTTTGCTTAGTTTCGTCGCAGGCAGGAGCAGCAGGTCTTAATTTGATTGTAATGTCTTATACATCTACTATGAGATGACGTGTATTATAAGCTAGGAGAAACATATATGTATCATTTCTACCAACCAAACTTGCTATATATGAAAAAGGAAAAACGACCAGAGAGATGGAATCATAGTCTACTGTCTTATTGGTTTTGAGTCTCTCTCTCTCTCTGCCAAGACTACCAAAACTTTGTGCACACACTGCATAGACAATGAGGCCTATAGTCTATAGACAATCTTCTCTACCAACCAAATACAAGATTAGCATGTTGGAATGATTTATTCACATGGTGTCGAAGCTGCTAAAGCAGATGGTGAAGGCAGAGATAGGGTACATGCAATTAACTATTTGAGCAGCAGAAGATGGACTCTGTGAATGGAAGGCGTCTGTATATGTGTATAGTTTTAGTTTGAGCATGATTGATTATCTTCTGAAGCCCATTTGTATGGGATTGCCTCCGTCTTATGAAGCCCATTTATATGAGAGGGGGAAACGATTATGTTATTACCTCTATTTAATGGGCTTTATGAAGGAGAGGGAAAAATATTATGTTTAATGGGCTCATGAGACCGAGTATCTACGAGTTTGATAATATAAAGATACACGTGTCGTTATTGATTGCCGTGAAATCTGGTAAATTAAAAAAAGAGAGTAAATTTTCGAATCTGTATTTTTACAAAGGTTGGGGGAAGCGGACACAGAGAAATTCAAAATTTGAAAACAGATTTGCTGTTATTCGCACCCAACTAATAAGAAGGGTAGAGAAAGAGAGGCTATACTGTAAAGCAAAGAGTTTTGGAACGAAGAAGAAATGGTGGGAGAGGAAGAAGAGAAAAGGAGATGGTGGTGGTTGGAGAGTCATCACAAGACAACCTCTAATAAGCATTCTCAATGGCTTAATTCGACACTTGCAGAGCTGGATTCAAAGACAAATGCCATGTTGTCGCTTATTGAGGAGGGTAACGCGGATTCTTTTGCGCAGCGTGCCGAGACTTACTACAAGAAACGTCCTGAGCTTATCAACTTCGTCCATGATTTCTATCGTGCTCACCGTTCCTTAGCCCACCGTTTCCATCACCTTAAATCTTCTTCATCCTCCTCCTCCTCTATCGACCACTCCCTTTCCGAGCTTGATGATCCCCATTCCGAGATTGAAGACCCTGACGAAGAACAAGAAGACAACGCCTCCTCCTCCTCCATTTTGAAACTGGAACAAGAAAGGCTGAAGCTGATCCAAGAGAGTGATGCTCTGAGAAGACAGCTTTTGGACAAGGACGAAGAAAAGAGAGAGGTCATTAGGCAGCTTTCTCTTACTCTTGACACCCTCAAGGACGAGAACTTGAGTCTCAAGAGACGTCTTGTTCGCACTGTGTCTCCCAAGAAACGTAGCGTTTTCCATCTCGGGAAGCTGTTCTACTTTGGAAATGCGCCATCATGGTAGTAACAAGGAAACTCTTTCTATGCTCCTCATATACCTCATATGAGCATTTGGGTACAGGCAGCTCACCTGCTACATTCGCTGTGTCTTTGATTCACCACTCTTTTTTTTTCTATGTAAGACTGAAACATCTAGTTCCGTGCTGTATTGTAACCGGGATTTGCGTAATTATCCTCTCTGCCTACTTAATATGCAATGTCTTATTTTTTTCAATCAGCGAGCGACATGTGACATATTTGATTATTTATAACTAGAGTCTTTGTCCGCGCTACGCGCGGATTGTGTATGATAAATTTTTTATTTAAGAAAATCCGTTTGAATATAAAAGAGTCTTTTATGTTATTTGACAAAAACTATTGAATTGATATCAAAAAGATACAACCCTTAAATCTTTGACACTAAAAGGTCAATGGCATGATTTATATTTGAAAGTTCGCAGATACCGTTTTTATTTTCAAAAATCCTTTTCTTGGGTTAATATATGCATGGCTAAGTGAGCAAATTTTGTTCTATTAAACAGTTTTGTGAGACGTTTAAAAATTTCTTCTACATTTGGATAGGTTGTTATGTTTTTGAGTGTCTATATTAATAAATATTATAAGTTTAAGTGGTTTTTGTTTGTTTGTTTTTTCTTCTCCATGCATTACACAATTACTTGCGTGTTTAGCCTATCAATTACACAACATGCAGCAGTCCTATAGTATTAATTCTACTTACTACACACATATATATATATATATATATATATATATATATATATATATATATATATATATACACTTCATTGTGGTTTGGAAGTAAAGTTTACTTTTTCCATTTAGGGAAGATCGTATATAAGTTGAAGTTTGAGGTTGTATCTCTGGCTGGTGTTTACATATTGGTCGGTTGGGGTGGGAACTTGTGATTGTCGTTGATAGCAGAAAGGAAAAGGTTCCAATGTAGAAATGGAAGCATGACTTCTTTGTGAAGGAAGTTATTCCAAATTTTTTTCTTGTTTAGTAGCACAGAGGGTTAAGCATATTTTATTTTGAAAATATTAAATTGTTAAAAGAAATATATATATATATATATATATTATTTTTTAACGCAATTTCTTAAAGAAATATATTAAAAAAAAAATAAGACTTAAGTGTTTTACATCGTTGGGATGAAATTGTTTGTCTATTTATTCGTGTCTCCACCCTACCACAATCCTCTTTCATATTATGAATGAATGGAAGAATAGAGGTTCAGTTAATTTTTGATTGATGACTGCAATTTAATTTTAGTCTAAACTTTGGATTAACATTTATGTGTCTGTTGAATTTATATTCAGGATTTTGGCTTAAAATTTCATAAGCGTGATTTTGTATTTCACTAACTGAAGTCAAATTTTTAAAGGAATAGTTATATGTCTGAAAACGACAGCACACACCTCTTTCTCTTGGCCAAGTAATCAGACGATTGATTCTCATAAAAGTTTAACAACGTTGTCGACTAAATAACATTCCATAGTCTTTGTAAAGTAGCTAGCAACTTTTTAGTTGCAGTAATTTTGTTGTAAGTTTTATTTGGTTAGGCACCATTATGATAACGATTTGTGAATTTTTTTGGAGCTTAAATTCAACTCATTAACGTTTGGTTTACTATTTTGTGGACAAAGTGTTGAGTTGTATCATGTTTTTATGTGGACCATAAAATAGTGCTAAGGAATTTATTGGAAGACCAATACTAACGACTTAATAAACTATATTGTTTGCTAAAGAAGATTTGGAGCACAACGGAAGGGGGAAACAAACATTAAAGAAAATGTGGAGGACAGTAATTTTAAAGCCACAACGAACTGAAGGTGAAACAGTGGTCTCAGGCAGACATGGTATGTGTAGGTGGAGAGTGGCAACAAATAGGTGATATGCTTGGGATGCTTCCTTCTCTTAGTTAGTGTCCTTGGTAAGTGTACTTGTCTCACCAGACCTGCTGCGAAGATGTGTCTACCTTAATTGGAGCTTACGACTTCAATGGTTGCACAGGTCTTGTTCATCCATCCTTTTATTTACTGGATTTTCCTTTACTGGGCATACAACGTTAGTGACTGATGCTCTGTCTTTTGCAGTGAAGTTGTAGCTAGTAACAAACCCTGAATCTGTGTGTCTGGTCAATTGTATCCACCATACATTGTGGGATTGGGACCTCATACTCAGAACCCATGTCTCCATTAGCCTAGCAATATAGAACAAAATGTGAGTGAGTTTAAATGGTTAGGGAGGTGATTCTGTGAGAAAAAAGGATACCTCCAAGTAGGCATCCATTAATTATGCAGCTTCTCTTCCCGTCCGCTATTTCCCGTGTCACCAAGCAAGACAAAAGTAGATGTGTCATTATTGTTGTCGATCGATATTTCTACTCAATACCTGAAATTTCAAAACACACACATTTTGCACCTCGTAACGTGATGGCTCAAGCCATTGTAGCTAGTGTTATCGAAGGCTCTCGTTCTCAATATTCCATCTCTGTTTGAGGATCAGCTTGGCTTCGCCTTATCCTTGACCAGCGAATAAGAAACTGTACCTAACCTTATGTTTTGCTGGGTCTCTCTTTTCGTGGATTGTTTCTCTGCAACATTTATTCCCTTTTTTAAGCCTTCATAGGTGTGGTAACTACTGTTTTTTAATTAGTTTCAGTCTCTTTGTAATCTTTAAAATGATTGGTGGTTTAAGTTATTAAAAAAAAAAAAACACTAACGATTTTGAGCTTGGCAACTTCCTTGTTCGGCTTGTTGACTTTGTTCTGAAACCATCTACTTCAAATTTACCTGAATCACGTCAGAAACGTTGTTAGCAAGCAAATCAAGCTCAAGGATAGAAACGATCCTCAGTATAATGAGATACGTACCCTGACGCCATGCTTTGTCGAGGTTGTTGATCTTGTCAACGACTTCAACGCTGGCGAATCTTCGACGTTGAGATTGAAGGCTGATCTCCGGATCGTTCCTCTTCTCTTCTGGGAATAGATTGATATACAACATCTTAAGTGTGATCTTCTCTCTGTGAAGTAAACGAAAGGAGCAGCTCAAAAGAGGAAACAAAGTATCGTCAGAAACTGAAAGAGCATAGAGAACGTACTTACACAACTGTATATAATGAAGAAGATGAACTTATCAGCAGCGTTATTCTCTGTCTAGGGGTTTTTGGTTGTTTTTTTGTGTAAACTGATGATTTTTAAAAAACAAAATTGAATTGTGTTTAAAAACAAACACGACCTATTGTTTAATTTCGATCAGACTCTCCTCTCATCCGAAACATCCGACGTTTCACCGGAAGCTGTCGTGACCACCTTAATTTTTAATTTTCGATCTAGTTAAAATGTAAAGAAGCTTAACTCTATTCCAGTTGAAAAAGTCTGCGAAAGACAATCAATAATCCTCAATATTACATTACATTACTGACATGGTCACTGACTCACATCACATGAACAACAATTTGAACAGGATAAATTAAAATCATGGATAAAAAAGTAGACACATGAACAACTGTGATAAATTAAAACCATGGAAAAAGAAGCCATAAAAGTGAATAAAGAGAGACATCGAGAGATTTAGTGACAAAAGCAGAGAAAATTACCAGCTCCTGAGTCAGCTTCTCTGATCTGGCTCATTCAAATAATAAAGGGTTTAGATTTTGAGCTATACTTGGAGAATCCAAACTCTAGAGAAAGGTGGTGAAGAGAAATAACCAGAGGAAGGAGAAACCGTTTTTGAGATGATTCTTGGTCGGAAACGAAGGAGATGAAGAAACCAAGTTCTTTGAGCTGGTGTCGATTGATCAGTCGAGAAGATGAAACGATGAAGAAGAAAGTGAAAAAGAGAAGATACAGAGAAGTGATGCAACACGGCGTGATAACTTGCTAGGTCTCAATTGGAGATTGGTGAGATTTGAAGCCCACCATAAGAAGCCCATAACAAATTTGATTGAAGCATGTCAATTGAATCCCATTCGAATAGAATGCACCTGCTGAGTTGGACAAATAAACATATTCTATTGGAAGAATATATTGTCTGACGTGGTTTAAGGAGAGGGCAGTATTACGCCCTTTTAATATAGTAGTGATAGTGATTGGATCAATCAATTTTTTTTGACTTTTTGAGGCACAAAGCCCATAACACAAGTTACAAGTAGAACAACTGCACCAGCTAAATGGCCGCATAAGAGTACTTCATGAGCAATTTTCATACGAACAATTAATAAAAAGGGTATATAATATCAATATCAAATTACACAGAGAAAATACATTGTTTTTGTTTCTTTCTTTTACTCTCTGTTTCTAACTAGCGAATCTGCAGAAAGGTAGTAGCAGCAACATGGGCAACATAAGAAGCAGAGAGCGATGTGAAGAGACCAAAGAAACAGAAGAAGATGCAGGCAGAGGAGACCCCACCGGAGAAGTGTCAAGCAGAGGTTCACGACCGACGGCATCTGGGTTTGGTGGACTAAGGCTCGAGGGGATCGTCGGCATCTCAGAAGAGTCTGACGGAGAAGGAGACATTTCACTCGAACCCGGAGTAGGGAACAGAGGAGATATATCCGGAGACATAGCCTCCGGAGGTGAAGCTGAAGGCGCTTCGGGCAGAAACGAAGGTGCAGCTGATATGGTGGAGAGCTGAAACTGTAGTAGCTCGGATGTTGAAGTGTGCAAACAGAGTGAGAGAAGAGTCAAGGCGAAGAACAGAGAGACCCCCATGGTTTCTTTCTGTGAATGAGTCTCTCTCTTTTTCTCTGAGAATGTTTCTTGAGAGACCTTAATATGTAGAAAAAAGGTGTACAGCTAATAGAGGTAGTAAAAGACAAGATTGGTTGGTTTGGTTTGGTTGTGGACCTTTTGTTAGGGGCAGAGCACATGAAATGTGGATTTGTCGGATTTTGATTTGTGTCGGAGTGTTTGTTTGCTTGTTTTAGATTTCTGAATAAAAACGCACAGAAATAATTAAAAAACAAACAGGAAGAGACCCGTGAGTGAAGCTCTTCCCTCAATACTGAAGTGAGTGCCAGCTTTAACTTGGTTATATTTTCTTTTTCTGCAATAATCTAAGGTTTAGACAAAAGATAAGCAGAGATTCTCTGGGAAATATAAGAGCCATAGGGCATTACTGCATTATATATCTCATCAAAATCAGATAATGAAATGTATATAAGTTGACTTTGCTCTAAGATTCATTGCTATTGTTGCCAAATTTTCTATCAAATGCCGCAATCTCCTAGAGATCAGAAGAAAGGATGAGGTAAACCTGGAGAATGAGATGAAGCTGAAAGCTTTCCCGATTGCTCTGGAGAGCTTTTCGTCTCCAATACCTTGGGTTGGGGGTCAAACCTCTACATAATAAAATGTGAAGGCAGTTTCAGTTTGTAAGAGAGTTAGGTAGATGGTTCAAATTAAACTTAATAATAAAACCACATGCATATCTGGGAGTAACTACGATACATGTAAAACTAACCTTAGCCATATACTTTCTCTACCATCTCCTCTTCTCTCAACTTTAACAGTTAAAAGTAAACATGGGTACTATCACGGTGGACACAGTTCCTACCACAAAAGCACTGCACGCGATAAAGTCGATTAGGGTCATAGGTGAGAAAAAGGTGAATAATCTCCATCAAGACATATGCCTTATAGTGCTGGGAATTCTGCCATGGTAGGGAGGGAGTGTAATCAAGCGGTGTACAAGTGCAGCAAAGAACCACACACGAAATCAGAGAGTGAGTACTCAAATGAAACAAGCAGTAATATAAACCGAACCACACACGAAGTTAGAGAGTGAGTAATCAAATGAAACAAGCACTCTAGCTTCAATTCATGAATGGAGAAGAGATGTGAAAGTGTTAAACCATGAGAAAGGATGCATCATGAATCTTGGCAGGATCCAAGCGGCATTAGTACTAGTGTCAAAAGAAAGGGAGAAGAAGAAATAAATGCTGCCATTGAACGAGGTCAGCGACTTGGGCGAGGCGATGCGGTGGAGAGAGATGGAATATTGGAATTTAACGGTGGGAGGGAGAAGCAGCCGCAGCATAGGGAGAGGAGTATCAGCCTTTCTTTGTAAACGGACGGACGTTTTTAACATCAATGGGCCTGTTTTGAGCAAAAAAACAGAGGGCAGCCCGCAATCAGATTGTAGTGTTCCACTCTATGGGCTTATTATAGAGCAGAAACTAAAACAGACCCATCAGAATAAATCTTGTAAAAAAACATAACAGAGAAAAAGAAGGAGAGGGCAAAATCGGAAGAGAGAGAGATGAGCAGCACGGCGACGCAGGGACCGCACTCGCTGGCCTTCAGGGTGATGCGACTGTGCAAGCCTTCTTTCCACGTCGATCCTCCCCTCCGTATTGACCCTTTCGATCTTCTCTCCGGCGAGGATTTCTCGGACGATCCCAGTTCCGCCTCATTGCTCCGACGCCATTTGTCTTCTACAGATGCCGTCGACTCCGATCTGAGTTACCGCAACAGATTCCTCATAAACCACCCTACGGATCCCATCGGTCTATCTGGTCTTCTCCTTCTGCCACAGTCCTTCGGGGCGATCTATCTGGGAGAGACGTTCTGTAGCTATATTAGCGTCAACAACAGCTCCACTTCCCAAGTTCGAGATGTTACCATCAAGGTCTCTTATTTCCACTCCTTACTTACCCTTCTATTTTATTTATTTATTTATTTATTTTTTAATTTTCTAGGCAGAAATTCAGACAGAGAGGCAGAGGATTCTTCTTCTGGATACATCCAAGTCTCCTGTTGAATCCATACGTACTGGTGGCCGCTATGACTTCATTGTTGAACATGATGTTAAAGAGCTTGGTGCTCACACGTGCGCCTTTTACTCTCTCTCTTTTTATTCTTTTCAATTGACTCCTTGGCCAATTCCTCCTATTCCTATTCCTTAGGTTGGTTTGCTCTGCCTTGTACAATGATGCTGATGGTGAGCGTAAATATCTTCCCCAGTTCTTCAAGTTTGTCGTTGCAAATCCACTCTCTGTGAGGACCAAGGTGACTTACATATTTTACCATTTTCTTTTGTCACTTCTCCCTCTCCCCCAGGCTTCTCTAATTGTTGCGCCTTCCTTCTGATATGCAGGTTCGAGTTGTAAAGGTATGTATGTTCATCTTTGTCTGTTCTCAGAAGCTTTAGCTTTCCCTTTGCTTCTTCTTAATATCGTTGTTGTTCCTGTTTACACCAGGAGACTACGTTTCTAGAGGCTTGCATTGAGAACCATACTAAATCTAACCTCTTTATGGACCAAGTTGATTTTGAACCTGCCAAGCAATGGACTGCTCTCAGATTACATGATCAACAACATCCCCCCACCAGGTTTTCATCATTCTTAGTTTACTTCATCAATTCCTCTCTATTTTTTGCTCATTCCTCTCTCTGCGTGTCAGTGATCTTGCTGGACTAATACCTAATCCGCCTGTTATCATCCGATCTGGTGGGGGTATCCACAACTATCTCTATAAGCTAGTCCCATCTTCAGATGTTTCTGGCCAACCCAAATTCCAGGGAAGTAGTATCCTCGGCAAATTTCAAATTACATGGCGCACTAATCTCGGAGAACCTGGTCGCTTACAGACACAACAAATTCTTGGCGCTGTAAGTTCCTTCATCATCTTTTACTATCTGAAAACAAGAGTTTAATATGTCCTAGTTTGCCGCTCATATTTTGTTTGAACTCTGAATTTATCTGTTATTTGTTGCCATTTTTTACACCAGTTCTGATGAATTCATTAGTTTAAGCATACAGACAGCCTGCAGAAGAGTCAATCTTAGGTTGGTGCCAGTTAGTACAACTAGGAAAATAGCTTTGCATTAGTATCATTATATAGCAGTATTATTTATACTCACCACCTTGCTCTACTTATCTGAGATCGTTCGCTTGATCCAAAAAAGTTCATTGTAGTAGAAACAACCTAATGCATTATCTCTATTATGTCTGAAACCTTTTAAACATATAAAAGCAGGTTTATGAAATTCTCTTTATGTCCTTGTACTCTCATCTGTATGTTCATGCGTCATCTTCTCTCAAACTTCGTTTGTTATAACACCTTTTTTTCTTCTCAGCCAGTTAGCCGCAAAGAAATTAATATGAGAGTTGTGGAGGTTCCAACTGCTATACACTTAAATAGACCCTTTTCGGTAATACAACTGTTTTCTTTCCCTCTCTCTCTCTCTAGTTAATGTTTGTAATGCCCAAAAGATTGGATTTGAATATACATTGGGTTTGAACTGAGCGTACTATGAAATCTTTAGGCATCCTTGAATCTCACAAATCAAACTGATAGGCAGTTGGGACCCTTCGAGGTTTCACTGACACAAGATGAATCACAAATGGAGAAGCCGGTTGCCATTAACGGTCTCCAGAAACTGGTATGTTATCTAAACATTCTTTTCCCCTATTGTGTCTGCCAATTGAAACTTTTGTAGTATATAGTCACCATAAACCCATGTAGTTAGTCTTTTAGATTTTACACTCATCCATGTTCGGCGGAAGAACTATTAATCACATACAGGTTATGCAATGGGCATTGAACCAAAACTTAGCATGGCTACTAGTTGAAGTGTTTTTGCTTCAGCGTTGCAACTTTGTTTTTGTGTGTGGTACGAAGGAAAGTCACAACGTTGAAAATCTTGCAGATGTTACCTAGGCTTGAGGCATTTGGCTCCAATGATTTCCAATTGGTATGACAAAACTGACTACCTCCAAAATGATCTGATCTCAAGGCCCGCCCTTGACCGATTTTGGAATCTTAACGCTGAATGTAAATTTTACAGAACCTGATCGCCTCCAAACTCGGAGTCCAGAAAATAGCTGGGATCACAGCCTTGGACACAAGAGAGAAGAAAACCTACGAGCTTGTTCCAGAGATGGAGGTTAGTGTTACTATCTTTTTCTTGGTATAAACTCCCACTTTTTATTTATTATAAAACCAACAATATTGAGGGAGATTATTAATTGTACTGCAGATATTTGTAGAGTCGGACTAGTAATCTTCGGAGTGATTGTTCTTCCTCCAAAGGTCTTGTGATTGCAACACAAATGGGTGTCGTTCAAGTTTTTTGTTGATTAGTTTAAAATAAATTTGGTTTATGCGCGTTTCAGGTGGAGAAAAAGAAGTAAATGGCTCTTAACAAATTGTATCTTGTATCGGATTATTTGTGTTGTTTTTTTTAATTGGGTTGAAAACGAGTTGTTAGTAATCATGTCTGCAAACCAATGAAGGATCTATCTACAAACATCAAACAAGATGTATTGTTTTTTTTTTCTTTGGCTGACACAGAACTACAATCATGGTGTAATCAATTAGATTTTTGGGTTTTATAATATTTACCCAATGTTTATATTCAACTAAAGCAAAGCTTTAAGGGCGTAAAAATTAGAAACATGTAAAACATATGTGTTAGCAGCATTAACTGAGGTATGTAACAACATATCAGTGATAATTATTTGGAAGAGAAACAGTTAAGTGTAAAGTTGAAAAGGGAAAATGAAATAAAATGAGAGGAGGGGGGGGGAAAGTAGTCTTTTTCTTGTTTTATCGGGGGAGCATTGGCGGGAGAGAGAGGAGACTTTACTAATTGCAGTCTCGTAAGCAAACCCTAAGGGAGAAACATTTTGTCGTCCATGGAAGGCGCTGTGAGTGTCTCCTTCCCCCCCTCTCTCTCTCTCTTTAACTAATTATTATAACTATTTTCGAATTGAATCGTCCGCTTTTGCTATATTAATATGCGTAGAAAAGGAGTAGAGATGGGGATCAGGAAGATGACGACAGCGGCGGAGAGAATCAGAATCATAACCAGAAACAGGAGCGGAGCACCAGCCAAGAGCGAAGCCCCGAGCTCGATGATGACTATTTCAAGGAAACTCGTCCTCAGTCCAAGCGTAGTCGCACCCTTCCTCCCCATCAGAATCTCATAGGTATTACTGGAGATCTGGGGAATTCTAGTGATTGATTCTGCTTAAATTCACTTCGTTAGGCTAGATCGTACTTTCCTTTACATTTCCTCGTTTTGTTTTAGTTTTCCTGTGTGTTAGATAAGTAATTTTGAGTGTTGATGAATTTCAACAGAGGTTGTGAAAGGGAGCGTGGATCTTATACCTAAAGCGGTGAAGATCTGGGTTGAAAGATATGAAAACTCTCCAAACCTTGCTACCGCTGAACTCTTGTCCATGCTCTTTGAGGTAGCTACCTCTTTCTTTTCCTCTTTTTTTTTTTCTTTTTTATTTATTTATTGCTCTTTAAAAGTTCAGCCATAGTCTTCATTGCCTGCCAGGTCTTTTATTAGTATCATTGTTTTGTGCATCCAATATGTAGGCTTGCGGTGCTAAATACTCCATCAAGGAAGACCTGCTTGATGAGACTGACGTCGATGATGTTGTCGTTGCCCTTGTTAATCTTGCTAGATCCGTAAAATCCTTCTTCTTCTCTCTCTTTTTCTCTTCCCTTTTCTCTTTCTTCTCCTTAATTATTCTTTTGATTGCTGTTCGCCTCCAGGGGGAAATTGAAGATTATCATAGTTCTAGAAAGAAGGAACTCAAGAACTTCAAAGAAAATCTTGTTTCTTTCTGGAATTATTTAATTACCGAGTCCCAGAATGGACCATTGTTTGACAAAGTCTTGTTCGACAAGTGCATGGACTTCATCATCGCACTCTCATGGTTTGTCTTCATTCCTTCCTTGCAAGCTTATGCCACCCTACACATTCTTATATTCATCTTTTTTCTACTTGTATTGCAGTACTCCACCTAGAGTTTACCGCCAAACTGCCACGCTAATGGGTCTCCAACTAGTCACTTCCTTTATTTCTGTAGCCAACACTCTCGGTTCCCAGCGAGAAACCACCCAAAGGCAATTGAATGCTGAAACCAAGAAAAGACCTGACGGCCCTCTTGTCGACTCCCTCAACAAAAGGTTGTCTGTTACTCACCAACAGATTACTACTTTGGAGGACATGATGCGTAAAATTTTCACTGGGTAAGATTCGATTTAACGATTAGACCCTCAGCTAAGTATTACACCCGCACAAAGAAAGATTAACATTGTTCCTTTTTTTTTTTATTCGAGTCTTACTGACCACAATCATTATTACATCTTATCTTGAAGGTTGTTTGTACACCGATATCGAGATGTTGACCCCGATATTAGGATGTCATGCATTCAGTCTCTAGGTGTTTGGATTTCTACTTATCCTTCTCTTTTCTTACAAGATCTCTACTTAAAGTATCTTGGATGGACGCTTAATGACAAAGTAAGCTTCTTTCTTCTCTCTTCAATATTATTAGTTATGCATATTTGTAAATTTTAATAGTAACTGATCTTCTCTGTATTCAATTATTGGAGGCTGCCGGGGTGAGGAAAGCTTCTCTCCTGGCTTTGCGAAAACTTTATGAGATGGATGAAAACGTCCCCACTCTTGGTCTATTCACTGAGAGATTTTCCAATCGAATGATCGAGATGGCTGATGATGTTGATTTGTCTGCAGCTGTATGTGCTATTGGACTTGTAAAGCAGTTGCTAAGGTATTACCCTCGAGATAACATCCCTACCAAAACTTCCACCCTAAATATGTTGAAGTGCCCTGCATTAAAAGTAGATCTGTTATTGTCCTACAGACACCAGCTGATTCCTGATGACGACCTTGGCCCTTTGTACGATTTGCTTATTGATCAACCCCAAGAAATTAGACGTGCCATAGGAGAGTTAGTGTATGACCACTTGATCGCACAAAAGTTCAACAGTTCCCCATCCAGTCTTACAGGTTTTCCCTTTATATCAGCCAAATTCTGAGCACTATAAATTTTTTTTTCTCTGAGAACTTGGTTCACAGCTATCACATCCTATTTTTCAGGTCATGATGATTCTTCCTCTGAGATCCACATCTTCAGAATGTTACAAATATTACGGGAGTTTTCCACAGATCCAATTTTAAGCGTTTATGTAATAGATGATGTTTGGGAGTACATGAAGGCCATGAAGGTAGGCCTAAGAGAGATGCCTTCACGGTTACACTGTCATTATGCAGTTTTCTACCTACTATGTCACTGTTGTACATTCATTGTATCATCCTCATGATGCTGCTTTTCTTGCAGGACTGGAAGTGTATCATCTCTATGCTTTTGGATCAGAATCCTCGGACTGGGTCTACTAGTGACGAAGACTCAACAAACTTGGTCAGACTTCTGTTTGCGTCTATTAGAAAGGCTGTCGGAGAGAAGATAATCCCTTCAACGGATAATCGAAAGCAGTATCACAGTAAAGCTCAGCGAGTAAGATTCTCTCTCTTCTCTTTCTGAGAAATTTTCTTATTATGCCGATGATATGACTTCCCAAAAGAAGCAGTCCATATACCAATTTTTCTATCTTTTTTTTCTTGAACTACACTATGAGGGACAACTGCATTTTTGGACTTGTTAGGCACTGTGTTCCATTTTAGTCTTTTATACTCGTTTCGTTTTTGATTATGAAAATAGTGACATTGATGTTTCAATGCTGTGAATAACAGGAAATGTTTGAAAACAACCGGAAGGATATAACGGTTGCAATGATGAAGAACTATCCACAACTTCTACGTAAATTTATGGCTGACAAAGCGAAAGTCTCATCTTTGGTGGAGATTGTTATGTTTATGAAACTTGAGCTCTATTCTCTTAAACGACAGGAGCAGGTGGGTAAAGACATTTTGTTTCATATAGGATGCTCTTTTCCCTGTTATCGACCTCTCTTAGTGAAATTTTATTTTGTCCTCTGTTTCAGAGTTTTAAGGCTGCCGTCCGATTAATTAAGGATGCGTTTTTCATGAACGGGGAGAAGGAAGCACTAAGATCTTGCGTTAAAGCTATAACATTTTGTGCGTCGGAAAGTAAAGGGGAACTTCAAGATTTTTCTCGTGGGAAGCTTAAAGATCTTGAAGATACGCTTTTAGATAAACTTACTTCTGCTATTAAAGAGGTCAAGGTATGTTTTTACTTCCTTTGCCGATTATATTTATACTCTTTTTTACGGATCCTATCTTACATTCGTTTTCTATGCAGGATGGAAATGATGAATATTCCCTCCTTGTAAATCTGAAAAGGTTGTATGAGCTTCAGTTGTTAAAGCCTGTACTTGGTGAGAGCATGTACGATGAGCTTGCTATGACGCTCCATGATTTCAGAAATTTGGATGAAGAGGTGGTCAAGGAAATTCTTTTAGAGCTCTTACTATATCTTTTGTTTTCCCCTCACATCTTAATGAAACTGTTACTGGTTGCCTAGGTTATCTGTTTTCTCCTAATGAACATGCATATGTACGTGGTGTGGTCTTTGCACTCCGTCATAAATTGTGAAACTGTCTCCGAAGCTTCCTTAGCTTCCCTTATATCAAAACGCGATATCCTGTTTGAGGAGCTTTCTTACTTCCTAAATGGAGTTGAGGAATCGAGAAAATATGGTAACCAGCTAGCTCTCAGGGTAAGATGATTTGACGTTCCGATCTAACAGACACATTTCCTTTAGTTCATGTTCGTGTCATCTAGCAATGAATCATTTTCGCCTAACGAATGAAAACCTCAATGCTGCAGATTTGTGCTTTACTTGCGGAAGAGTGGTGTCTTTTTAGAAAGTCAAATTTTGACTCAAGTAAACTTGAAATGTTAGGATATTGTCCAGACAGTGTTATTCTCAAGAAATTTTGGAAACTCTGTGAAGAAATTCTTAACACATCAGGTGAGTATTATTTGCTTTAAGCATTTCTTGATTTTCCAAATGACTCACTTACTTTTGCTGGTCGTTGGAACAGATGAGACTGATGAGGAGGATGAAAATAAGGAGTATGTTGCTGAGACGAACAGAGATGTTGCAGCCATTGCTGCCTGCAAGTTGGTTAGTTGTGGCGTGGTGCTGAAGGTAATCACCAAGTGCATTGACCATGCTACTGTAAATATTATAGTTATCAATCATCAGCCATGTAGTGATTGATTTTTCTTCTAAACCAAACTTATGTAATTTTTTTGTCTGTCGCAGGACTATCTAGGACCAGAGATATTATCTCATCTTGTTATGCATGGACCTAGTGTTACAGAAGTCATAAAGAATCTTATAACTTGCTTAAGGAAAACAGAGGATGACATCTCCAATATCTATATGGAATCCTTGAAAAGGGTAAAGCTTTCTGCAGAGAATATGGAACGTTGATGATTATTTTAAGAAGACACAAATTTTAGTATTTCAAAGAAAGTTGCTGACACTAAAAACTTGGTCAGGGATATGAACGGTATGAAAGCGAACTTTCTTGTGACGGTGGAGAATCAAGAGTAGAAAAATGTCTTGAAGTGTGCCGGGAGCTTGCTGGTCGGCTATCAGGAATGTATATTGGTGCTGCTCGCAACAAACACAGATTGGAGATTTTGAGCGTGGTCAAGGAAGGTGTTGAGTTTGCATTTAGGGACGCACCGAAACAAATGTTGTTTCTGGAAGTTGCTATCCTTCCATTTGCAACGAGACTCTCAGTGCCGGACATCATTGACATGTAAGACTGGCAATTCTTTGAGCTAGTAGGAAACTCTCTGCTAATAGAATACCTGAAGTGTGTGTTCTTGTTTGGTTGCTGAGCAGTAAGAGGGAGGTTCAGGGGCGTATAGTGCATGTTAATACAGATGAAGACCCCAGCGGATGGCGTCCTTGCTTTACCTTCTTAGAAACATTGGAGGAGAAATGCTTAAAAACCGAGGATGTACAAGGTATGTTATGTGCATCTGATTGTTTAAGTAATGCCGGCTAGTGAGTGTGGTCCTACATATTTCTGCAAACTTGAATTGGAAAAAAAAAATGTGGACTGAATTGTTATGACGTTTGGGATTTCTATGACAGACGACAAGGAAGGAGTAGCTGCAAAACGCAGGGGACGTAGGCCGAGAAAACGTGCTGAAACAGAGCGAAAGAGATTGTTTGATGAGCAAAGCGGAAGCGATGAGGATGAATCAATGAGTGGTGGCTCGGACAAAGAAGACAAGGGAGATTTTGTAGACGAGGACGCTCCTCTTATTGAGACAATCAGATCGGCTGCAAGACGGAGGGCACTAAGAGGCGAACGGCCCAAGTGACAATTGACTTGAGAGTGTAATGCTATCAGTTTATGTTGGACATATGATCAAAGTGTTTCTAGTACCAAACCCTAAAACCCTACTCTTTGTTATATATGATTTGCAATCTAATTGTTTGTTTTTTTTAGTAGTAGAGATAGATCCAGACATTAATACCATCAAAAATGTAATCTATAACAGTAAAACTGAAAAGCATAAAATCAAGAAAAACAACAGAAACAAACATAACTTGTAATGAATTGATTCATCATATTCTCCCAGCAATTCTCATAAGAGGAGCAATAACACCCTGAATCTCGACAAGAGACTGTTGAATCATAATCTCCTGGTTGACCTCCCTCTTCAAGTTCCTGAGAACCCCTTTAAACTCCTCCTTACCGTTGATATCCTCAGCTCTCATCTCCAAAACCTTCTTCGTCAGTGCCATCAACAATACTGAATACCTCTGCACGGTACAGTACCGCTGTAAGAAACTCAGAAGCAATCCCAACTCCCCTTCCTCCATATTCGACACACACTTCATCATCTTCCTCCTGGCCACCAATTCTTCCATCACCGCCACCACGTTGGCCGGTTTCTTCTCCTCCAAAACAGAGACCAGAGCCTCCTTGTGCCTGAACTTCTTCAAGAGCTTATCGTGTCTTGCCAGTTTCACTCCTTTCATCTCCTTGACCAAGTAATCCTCTTTGGATGGCTTCTCGCTCTGGCCTCGCTGGAAATACCTGAAATAAGTAGGCCTCAACGCCCTTCTCCTACTCTCCTCCACTTGGCTATTGACACTCCAAAAGCTAGTTGCCTTCTTCTCAGCATCTGGCAGCTTCTTCTTCTTGCCAGCAAACAGCATACCGTTAGACCCTCCGATGACACGAAGGGAAGAATCGGGAGAGAGCGCAACGGACATGAGAGGAGCAGGAAACCTCATGGAGTAGGTCATCTTTGCTCTCCCGTAATCGAACACTTTCATGTATCCGTCTAGAGAAACACTCACAAGACGATTCTCCGCTGCTTCATCCAATCCCATTCTCCCAACGCAGAGAGAGGTGACAGTCTTGTTGTGACTCTCCATGGAACAAACCATCCTCCCGCCTCCGATCAAGTCCCACACCTTGACGCTGTTCAAACCGGCGGTTGCGATCATCCCACCGGACGGCAGGTAGACCACGTCCTCCACTGGACCCCCGTGGTTGATCTCAGCGATGCATTTGGACGTGTCCACTCTCGCGTCCCACACCTTCACCGTGTGATCGTAAGAACCCGTTACGAACATGGAATCGTTCACGGGAGAGCAGTCCCCGCAGCGCACATAGTCCTTGTGGCCTAACAGATCTGAGATGACGGTGGCTCCGGCGACATCCCAGTACTTGACCACTCCATCGTCGCCTCCGGAGACCAAGTGAAGCTTGTCCTGAAAGGGATACTTGACGAATCGCGCGGGTGCCTTGTGGGAGCGGAGGCTACGGAGAGCCATGCGTTCCTTGACGTCGAAGACCTGCACCACGCCGGAGAGGTCGGATGCGGCGAGAAGAGCGCCGTCGGAACGAAAACAGACGGAGGAGACAACATCTTTGAAGGAGAAACGGCGGGAGACGGAAAGCGTGTGGGAGGAAAAGAGGGAGACGGTGGTGGAGTGGGCCACGGCAAGGGAATGAGGGTGGACCGGAGAGAAAGCCAAGGCGGCGACGGAGGAGACCAGTTTAGGAATGTTGGAGTTAGGTTTGAAGGAGGACCAGTATCTGGAATCCGTAGTCTCCGACTTGGAAACAGATTTCGCTGTTGATTTTGGTTTCACAGGGAAAATCTTTGAAACTTGGTGATCATTGAGTCTAACACGAAGCTCTTCCTCCATTTTCCACTAACACCTCGATCTCGATAGCTGCTGTGCTGTGCTCTGCTGTGCTTGAGAGAGAGAGAGAGAGGGAACAAGGAAAGAGGCTGGAGGGTTAGGGTTTAAGGAGAGAATGGACGCCGAATATATATGAATTCCTTATTTCTTAAAGTCCATTACATTTTTTAAAAAAGCCCGACACTGTAATATAAATGGGCCCAACCATACACCTAAAGCCTGTTATCATTTGATTTTGCACTATTTTCGATGATCTTTATTCATGTTTGAAAAACATCATCCGAAATTTATCTTTACAGATTCACAAAAACTAATCTATTAGTTTTCTAATTGATTTTAAGAATTATTCTATTTCTAAATCCTAGACTTTTATTGATTGAATCAATGAATTATAATCATTTTTTGTTTAGTAAAATAATATAAACAACACAGAATAGTAAATCTATCAAAAAATTATGTGTTGAGCATGAAAATCTCGCAGTCTCGCATATGTCCAAAAAGAAATACAAATCATCTATCTTTTTCAAATTCTCTCATTTATTATAATTGTATTTTTTAATATTAATTATTTGGGCCTAATATAATTTCAGTTTAATACAAATATGTAACTAAAACTGAAGATTAAATTTTTTTCTTAGATACCTAAAATCAATATATTCAATGTTTAACAAATAACAAAACATATTCATATTATTTATATAATTAAAAACATCTTTATTTTTTATGTTTTGTAACTACTTGAGTGAGATCATATTTTTGTGGGGTGAAATTTTATTTTTTAATGATGTCAATAAAAACGTATTCTCTTTTCTGTCCTTGGGGAAATCCAACAAATATGCAGCCACCTCTCTCTTGGCCTTTTCTCCTTTCCTCCGACGACCATCTTCCTCATCTTCTTCCTCTTCCGGTTTAAACACTGCAACTTTCCTCATTTTCTCGTTCATGAGGAAGTAAGCTCCATTAGTTGCACAAGAAATCTTTTGGGCAAAAATCTTCTTCTTCAAGTCCATGTTGGCAGCTGAAATGATATCTTGTGCTCTTATAACTGGAAAGGGGAGAATCTCCACAACCAAATCTTGCTCCATAGGGTACCTAAACCAACAACACCATGCAAACATTATTTGGATTTAAAAATAGCAAAATAAGATAGTAATATATTGAGAGATGTTACCATTTTAAGAGGAAGAAGTGTGAGTCGACATACAAAAATATGGACGGAATGAACGATAGAAGTAAACTAGTGGTATTTAAAGATAAATGACCGCAACCACTATCTTAATTGCCAAACGAAGAAAGCTCAGTGTAGGACAACATAAGTAGCCTATAACTTTCTCAAAACTAATTATCAAACTCACGCAACGGTATCAAAAACTAGCTTACTAACTTCTTTGAAAACACTACTCAAACATTATAGCATATTTGTTTCAGCAATGTGTATTATGGCTTCCAATTTTTTCTTGAAGAAAGTTATATAGAAATAGATTCACAAATTTGTAAAAAAAATATTATTTACTAATTTTTTTATTAAATTTCCTACAATTTTTAAATCTCATAGGCGGCCTTGCATATAAGCATCCATGAAAGTATTATAACAGTTTTCATCTAGACCTTATATTTAAACCAAGTCGCAACTAGGTAAAACTCAAATGACTGTAAATTATAGCTTTTCTCACCTTCTGGAAGAAGTTGAAGATGAAACTAAAGGTTGTGTATAATAAAGTCTCTAGGCTACATCCTTTACCATCTCACAGGAAGTGTTTTTTACCGTTATCACTTCCCGATCCTAAGCCAAGAACGGGAACAAACAATGAACATGTTATTTTTCTTTTTCTTTTTTCTGATCACTACCTATTTTTCTTCTATTTTAAGCAGAATATATATATATATATATATATATATCATAGTTTGCTCTCATTGAGCTGAAGAAAGATGTTCGATTTACAAAGTTTACCTTATGTTGTTTTTTTTTTTGCTAAAAAGAAAAGAAAAATATGTTTAACTTATATTGTTACAAAAGAAAAACTCATCTATTAGAAACAAAATCTCACACATAGGTAATTAGAATGAATTCTTAGTAATATATAAGATAGATGAGTCAATCTAATTATCACTAACTGATTTTTAGGTTGGAAGTACATTTAACTTAACATTGTATCATAACCTAATCCTAATAGTCCAGCCCGATTCACATCGATCTGATTCAAAGGTGGTCCATCGATTCTTAAGGGATCCTTGGTAATGTATATGATAGATACAAGTCAATCCACTTATCATCAAATGATTTTAAGTTGGAATCTCATCTAATTTAACATAATCTAGCTACTAAGACAGTTTCCTAACCTTTTTCGGATTATTTTTTAAGATATATATATGATACATTTAGGTGAACTGGATGATGGATGAGGATAAAGATCATTATGAAACTCGTAAAGTAGAACATGGGTCTAGCGAAGATATTTATCCACTGCAAGTTGGCAAAAAAAAAAAAAAACAACTAAAATACTAACTTAAGTAATTAGAAGAAATCATAGCTTGGGATTGAGAATTAAGTTATCTTAGCTCGAGGTGCAATAGAAACTCGAGTCATAGTTATGGGGGTTTATGACTTTCGCTTCAAAGTCAGAGTTTACCCAACTTGAACTATTTGTTTTAGTTTCCTTTTCCGTCCATTTCGTAAAATAAGTGAACTAGTATATAAAAGCTAATCTCAAAAAAACTAACGAGGCTGCTCTTCACTAGTAACTTATTAATATACGTCTGGTCTCTAGGGTTAAACAAGCCACAATGTCTTAACAGTAAAAGCAGAAAGAAAAAGAAATCTGTAAATCTATGGGAAAGTATACCGGATTTCAAGGTTAAAACACAGAGACGTCCAAGGTTATACACATATATCTCAAATGGTGTAAATTAACAGTCCAGAAAACCTGTAACAGGTTTTGCAATCTATATGTCTAGTAAGTATATATATATAGATTAATTAATGTTCACGCTTTGTAGTAATGCGTCCTCCAGGAGGCCTTTGTGAGAGACGGATTATTATATATAGTCGTCGTCGAAGCTCTCTGCTGTGTCTGTCTTTTTGGTTGTTCCTCGTCGACGTGAACCGCCCTGGCTTTTACAAGATCGACCTTCACTATGTGATGATCAGATGTTCCTTTAGAGGACAAAACCGAATACGACCCCGGCACGAACTGGTACTGAGAATCGGAGGAAGCCAGTATGTAGTCCACGCGTGTCCCGTACTTGCATGTGCCTTGTACACCTGCATGTCATATAAAAAAAAATATATATACGACGTTAGCTAGGAATCGACAGTGGTTGACATAAAGTAGACGGTGTACGTGCTTACTCTGGCCTTTGGCAACTACTACGACAGATTCGCATTCTCCAGCGAAGTCCTTAGCGTCAGTGTATTCTTTGCTCTTTAAGAACCTCATCACTTGGGCTTTTGGTATTGGCTTACCCATCTCTTGGTAATACTATATTATGTATAGCAAACGGTATATAGTTAGTAGCTAGATGGATTGATGATTACTTGTTGTATGTACATATATAGATATTATGCTATAGTAAATTGTACCTTGACAATGTCGGTCCATCTCTCGGAAGAGTAATCGGATTCGTTGAGAGAATTGAGAGCGCCAGCAAGTATGTGTGGGATATCAGTAGATTGGATAATTGCATGGACTTGCTTCATTCTCCAATTCTCGTCCAAGTGATCGAGATGAGTGCAGTGAAATTCCACTTCCCCGCTCCCCGGAACATCTATGGTCGCCTTCAGTACATTCCTATATGATACAATAAATATATATATATATAACCCCACCTAGGCAAAAGGGGAACAAAAGAATGCAGACTACGTACGTATATTTTTCAGTAGACCAATCCTAGACAAAAATAATAGTACCCACCACCTTTTCCGATGTCTGCCACCATTTTGATTATTATTTTTAAAAGTATTTCTTATTTAATAAGTAGAGAAAAGGTTTTCCAATCGAGAGATGTTTTTCACAAGAAGTCAGTGAGATAATATATATATATGTATTTATTCAGACAAAAGCATATTGACATTTGAAGCTGTCCTTGAGAATAAACAGCTGTTCTCTGAGAAGTTCCTTTCACAGAGAAACTTAAGTGTGCATTTTGTATATATATGTTTGTATGTATATATAGACACATTGATACTCCTCACGAGAAGACCATGACTAGGTTCTACTTATTGGGGGTACAAAGTCACCGCAGAGAAACTAATTTAATTTGTTTACCAAGCATGATCAAACGGATAGGAAGAACCATATAATATTTAATTAATCCAAAGATTTTAGTAATTTCTATCTTTAATGTTACTGGTAAACTGAAGAAAGAGTATAGTTTAGAGTCTTGTCTTAATTAAATATTAATAATGAACCTGAAATCAGTGTGGTCAAAAATCTTGTGGACGTTGGAGGTTTTGATGGGCCACTTGGAGAGAATGGCGTTGCCGTACTCGGGCGCCCAGCTCTCGGCAAAGACGTAATTCATGCCGAGGGCAGACGCCAGATCGGAGAGGGGTCGCATTTGGTCAGCCTCGTCCGCCTTGACGTCCTGAAGAGCAAGCAAGTCTGCGTCTAGCTCCCTCAGAACATCAAGAACCGTTCTGGTGGAGGGGAGATCGCCGGAGAAAGAGAGAGCTGGCCTGAGAGGGGAGTGATCCTCACGGAAACTGAGCTGGCGGCTAATCTCATTGTCGGGGAGATTGATGGAGACCCTTAGCCTCGATTTAGCGAACTTCTCTTGTTTCATGTTAATGGGGTGAAGCGGAGACTGAGACTGCTTAAGTATGCTCCTGGGACGGTCGAGGGTTGACTTGGAGCGGAGTGGGAGACCACTAGAGCTCATGTTGTTGTTGTTGGTGGGGACGGCAGGAGCCATGGAGAACATTGCAGCGTTGAAGGTGGCGACTCTGATGGTTTTCTCAGGGTTTGGATGAATGGCGGCTGTGGAAGATGAAGAAAACTCGTTGGAGGAGGGAGTGAGGTCATCACCGGAGATTTTGGCCTTTCGGATACGGCGGCGGAGGAAAGCAATGAGGTTCAACATCATCATCATCATCTAGAGAACTGGCGATCGCAGCATATAAGCTCGATCTCAAGTGAGGATAATGAAAGAGAGATATTAATTTAGAAAAAGGCAAAAATGGTTTTGAAATTAGAGAATCTGAAGTTGCTAAAAAGAGAGCAAGGAGCTTCTTGGAAATTGGTCTGAGCTTACGTGTGATATCATCAACTGCTCATCCATCTTTTATTATATATATATGTTTTATAAACGGCAATCATTTGATTTCAGTCTTTATTATTTTTCTATACAAATTTTTACTCTACTTTTTTTCTGAGTAATCAGGACTAAAAAAAAGAAGAAGCAATTTTCGACGGTATGGAGATATATGACAACAATAATTACGAATTATGTGTGAACCGTCCAAGAAGGAAGAGTTAATTAAGGAAAAGGAAGCTAACAACTCCCAAATATCAATAGAGCTAGACGGAATTCATACATACGAGATGCTGGCAGGTTGCTTTTTGTAGCTTTCCTCCAATCTTAAATTTATTATCCAATGCATGGCAGAGTAGCCGTGGACCCGCCCCATTTGACACGGACCTAACTAATACATGTTTAAACAAATCCTAATAAGAGGTGGACTCAACTACTCTGTAATTATTTCAAGATTGGTAGTAGATTCCTCCAGAAAAATCTCCTTAATAAAGAATTTGATATTAGCAAAGCATACCTTTATCGTGTAATTAAATATTTATTTGAATAATTGAAGGGAAAACAAGAAATTACCAAAATAATACTACTAATGATTTTTATTAAAACAAAAAAAAAAAAGGTCAAAAGGAAAAGAACAAAGAATGGTATAGAGGCGTTGAGAGTTAGGTGAAGTGTTTGATTGGACGTTTAGCTGGAGAAAGAGAGATAGTAGAGGACATGTGTGCTGTTTCCATATATTCTCAGAAACGGCTCTACACCGTCGTCGTGTTGCGAACTTCCTCTTCTTTCTTTTTTAGGTTCAACGTGATTGAAAACAAATGTGTATGAGCTTGAAAACAAAAGATAATGAGCTTGACAACAAAACTGTATGGGCCGTATCTTGTTTTAGGCCTATAAGAATGAAAAGAAGATCCAGTGTTGAGGTCAGGCTCTAAGAATCGCACAGCTCAGTCACGCTCGCTGGCAGTCGCATATAAGCGTCCGTTTGGAAGAGAAAGGATCCATCATAGCTGCTGCTAGTGAGATGGAGGAAGATTGATTCCAATACAGTTATGCACTGTCCCAAAGGTGATTCAAGACACTGTATCTGGGAGGACCCCCGAAAGAAGTCGCAATGGTTGAGCTACAAAAACAAAAGCGTAACATTTGTTCGCGGACTGATCTCTAGGCTCTAGCATTTTATCTTTTATTGTATCCAGTTCAGGGTGAAATGACGCTTTCTTCATCTTCTCATTTATGTCATAACTACATGAATCACTTCTGTTCTATAAATACGAAATCAAACTATACTATATATATAATAAAATCACTCAGTATGTACAAATATAACAAAAGTGTTGTCGGACCTAAGCATCATAGTCTAGCTTTGTATACTCAAGCAGCATGTGTGGGGATCTATAGATCTTCACAAGCGTCCAGTATAGAACTTCTTCTACTCCAAGCTCACCCTCCGCTCTTGCCGCGTATAAGTCCTCACATATTGCTATTAATCTACATTTAACAACACAGATAGAGGGCATTACTAGAAATCCAAAACTCACAAGGATTCCCTTTTAGAACCGCCGTTGTTACCTGTCACACGAAGGCAGGTTCTCGTAAGGTATTCTCATACGCAGGTCAGAGCATTGAAGCCTGATAAAACGCCCCACTGCTAGTACAAATGTTATATAGAGCCCCCATATACTGAATTTGCTGAGCGTGTCACCAAGAAACCCCTCTGCATTATTATTATCATCATTCCAGTAAATGTTAAATCTTGATAGAACATGATGAGTCTCGAGAGAGCAAGCAAGAGCTAACTTACGTGGAGGTGTTTCCTCAGACATTATGATAGCGACTGGTCCATCCATACCTTCGCATGCGCTGATATTTTCAGACGCTTTAAGGTTATGGAATGACCACCACCACTTGGAATCTGCATGGTTCATCACTATGTCTGCACTCACTTCATCCTTCTGTGTGCCAACATAAATGTTAATATATTTAAGGTCGAAATAGAAACGCAGTCTGGAAAAAAAAAACAGCTCCTAGCTTCTTGTGCCAAAAAAGATGTTTACCTGGTCCTCAAAAGACCTGACATCACCAGAGCCAGTAACACGGAAAAACTTTGGGTATAAGTTCTGCACTCTAAATCCATCCATCGAGCCATTGAGGACCATTTGCACATCAGAGCGTTTTGGAAGGTCCTGAGGGTCCACACTTCTTTCATACCTGACAGTCTCCTTGCCTTTTGGTCGGTCTCTGTTAAGAACCCAAGAAAAGGTGATGTCCATATCCGTGTCCCAGTCCAGGGATTGAACGAATCTGGTCACAACTGTGCCAGGGACAAGCCATAGAACACTTGCATCAGCTTGGCAGCATATCAGCTGGATGTCATTTTTGTTGTACGTTGGCAAGAAGCTTTGGGACCCTAGATCTAGCCCAAGATCAATGTTCTCCCCTGAGATTTTTTTGCACAGGGTTGTCTGAAACAAAGTAAGCTTCCCACCAACTGTTTTTATATCAATTTGAACGCTCGCATCTTTTATCGGGTTGGCAATGTTTGTTGGGTTACCACTGCTATACATCTGCAAGGAGGAAGCGGTTACCAACAAAAAAATGACTCACCAATTATATACCCCTACTTGTAAGACATCACAGACAGTTGCTGGTTTAACTCAGCACTATAATCTTTTCTTACTTATATGACTCAGGAGTACTATTCATCCCGAGAATCACATGCTTCGTTTTTTATTTTTTAACAGAAGTTATGGGTTGTAAGGAAAGATCTTTTACCAGCATAGGAGCCCATATAACGCATAACAAGATGAAGAAGAGACATATCCCGTTGCAGCATTTAGTCATTTTTGTTTGTCTCTCCCCATGTTTGTGTGTAGCTCGATTTAAAACTGTATCGCATTTGACAAGGTACAAACTCGCATTTACATCTTCCAACTGCAAAAGAACAGAACTTAAGTCCTTAGAAGTATGTTCAGATTGAACATGAACGATCCATGACCATAATGAGGGTTCTAGATATCAGGATGGGATGAAACCACATACCTTGAGCCAGTCATACATTGTCAGTGAGGTAGCTGTGCAGGACCAGTCAAGTACACATCTCAGTTCATACAGGAAAGGAAGAGCACGGTAAAGTCTGTAGCCATAGTAATTGATCCTTGAAACTTCACTTGTCAGAAACTGCCGGTATAGGGTGCTCTTATGAGGTAATCCATAGCGGATTTGTATGGCCTGGAGAGCCAGGGACATTGCTTTGGCAAGAAATATGAATCTGAGAGCCAAGCCAGCAGCGTGTTGCTGCGTAGGATATATGCTCCAAGCATACTCTGTCACTGCATATGTGAAGAGAATAAGACTGAAGAGGTAGTATACCACTTTTCCAGTCGCAAATGAGCAAAGATAGATGACACGATCAACAACAATCAGAAAGAAGATAACCTGCCACAAAAGCGTTTCATCAGGTTAGGGGACTGATATGCGAAGAACAGATAAACGAGACTTGAAAAAATGAATTACCATTAGAATAAAGACAAAGTCAACTGGGAACTGGTCCTCTAGCTGATATACATCGATGAATTCGCTTTTATTTTTAATGACTGATTGGTAGAAAATGGCAACCAGAAAGAAGGCCAACAAATCAGCACCAAATATGTAAGCATAGAGGTCTGTTTCTCTCTTTCCTCCGCCAATCACAGAGAGAATAGGGTACGGAAACCCAGTTCCTTCAACAAGTCCACTATGTTGAGCTTTGCGAATTTCTTTCGCCACATCTGAGGCCGGGGTAAGTGATCTGTACCATTCTGCTGAACAACACCCATTCGTGGGAGAAGCATACTCAACCTCGAGGACAACCAGGGCCTCGTTTGGGGTCTCTGTACTTCTCTCTATACTTTGTACGTGGACCCTGCTTGAGTAAGGACAAAGATCAGGGTTTTCCTTCTCGCATCTCTCATTGTGAACAAGCCTAAGCAACTGATTCATTCGGCATTCAACTCTTTCAGGCTGAATTCCATCTTCAGGCCACATGTGAACATCCATTGTCACCTGAACAAAGTAAGGAGGGGATTCTGCTCCACGTGTCAGCGAGATCCAGTACCGGCAGATGCCTCTCATCACCAATTTCGTACCATCTCTCAGTTTCTTGTACACATCCAAGATTCTATGGCTCCAGCTACTTCTTGTAAGGTCCTTCTGGCTCCCACGAGCATTCCGGCGCGAATTAAAATCGCCAGAAGGAACCCAATCACTATCTTTCACTGTTATGGTGCTCTGTATGAGAGTGAATATGTAAATAAGGAAGAGAGGCAACGAGCTGACAACAAACGATGATTTGATTCTTTGTGTTGGAAATCCCAGTTCATGAAGAAGAGGGGCATCAATGCTCAACCCACAGTGCTGGATTATAATCTGGTATAAATACTGGAGGAGGATATAGATTTCTGTGTACATTAGCATGAGGACCCAGAAGATGTGAGTAGGGCCTGTGTGAACGCAGAGGGCATATAGGAACAACGCTGCTAGATAGACCATGGAAAGAAGACTGAAGTTCCACAGAAACGCAATAATGAAGCAGCAATAGCAAACAATATCATTGTTGGACTGCATCCTAGACCATATATGACGAAGGATCCTTCCTATCTGAAAGCTAGCGCCATCACTACTTCTGTCTGATTGTAGAGATGTTGACCGTTCAAAAGGTTTGGGTATTCTTTTCTGACTTTCCATTTCATCATACACCTCATCATCTACAGAGGACTGCTCATTTGTATCTGAATTTTCCGGCGAGATGTTTAAGAAATTCACAAGGTTATTTACTGCCTGATTTCCAATAAATTGTACTTGGGAAACACCATCACCGATGAGTTGCACAGCAGAAATCAAAGGATTATCTTTTCCCTCTGTCTTTCCCTTTCTTTCATGTTCCATAGGCATGACATCAAGATCCTGCTGAACTTCAGTGATTTCACAAGGAGATGCTCCAAATGAACACTCCGGAGAGTCTGGTGCTTCTGGAGTGGCACTTATAGGAAGCTCATGAGCTTCAAACGGATACTGCGGATCCTCGACAACAGGCTGCTCTTCTTTCCTGTGGACTACTCCGTCAATCTCAGGACTGGCTGCACCACTATCTGGTATCAAGTACGGAGTCCTCCTTCTTAGACCTTCAGTGCGCGGAGAAGTAAATCCAAAATTAGAATCAGAACTCATTCTGTGAAGCTGTACCCGCAGGTTCAGCATTTCAGACTTCATCTTTTCCACCTGCAAATTTCGCTGCCGTTTTTTTTCTACAGCCTCACGAATCTGTTGCAGTTGCTCGGTCTTCCGAGCTGCTTTCTTTTCTTGCTCCCGCACAATAGCACCAATTTGCTCCGCTTCAAGATACCGCGAGACATAATCAAACTCCTGGGAGGAAAACATGTAGGACTGAAGAGATACTAGCATAAATATGATTATCTCAACAAGAGCAGATCTTGCAGTGATTCGAAACCCATAGTCATACTTGTAAAATCCAATCACCTCGTAAATATAATCAACCGTTTCACACTTTCCATCATTGAAGTTTCCCACAAATGGAGACTGATATGCGAGAGAAAAGATAATGAGCACAAAATTGTAGACTCGCAAGAACCTGAATATTTTGTTCTTCTTCTTCAGGATTTCAAGTCGCATCCGGGCAAAAACAAGAGCGAATGCAAGGTAACCCAGGTGTAGAATGTCATACTCGAGAGTTCCTGTGATTAGGATCAGAATAAGCACAACATCCAGCAGATGAACGTAACAATAAAGCCTCAGGTAATCAAGCACGGTCCACATGCCCTTTGTTTCGAAGGAGAGATCTCGCCAGACAAATGAGTTCTTTCTTTGAGACTTCATCTGATGATATGTTGATGACTGAGAGAAACTGGATATGTGATCAGACCGAAGTTTGAAACATGCAAACATGAACACCGCGAAATAGCTAATAAGCGTCCGGGGATCGTCGACTCTCACTCCTGCAAAAAAAACAAATATAAAAGCATCTTCATATAGAACCTAATTCATGAAGAATTAATGCACTAAGAACACCAAATGCTTCAGAGAATTTTAAGGGGTCTTACCAAGCCAACAGTCCCGGCAAAATTTAAAGTTGAGAACTGCAATACTCCAGCAATCATGGCAATGCACACTAGTTTCACTTGGAGCCTGATCGAAAGGCAATGAGTTATTCCAAGTGGCAACGTACTCAACTGAGAGTATTGATGCAAACAGAAAAACAACCACAGGCCATAGTTTCTGAATTAGGCGTCTTCTCAAGAGGACACATGCAGCAAGCAGCGCAATATATACCAAGGAGATGGCATTCAACAAAGCAAAACTTGCAAGAAGCAGCGCAATCATGTTTATCTCAAGGCCATAGAGGTTAAACATATTCTCAATCCAAAATTTCAAGTAAATTTTCAACAGATTCTTCTGCGTTTCAAACCTCTCCTTCTTCAATGCCAGAATCCTCCTCCTATTCCACCTGTGACTCTCTTTGATGCTTCCCCAGAAATGACCAAATGAAAATCTCCTACTACTGCCACTCTCACTGCCTCCACTCTTGGGATGCAAAAAACCAGCTGTCTGATTATTACGGGGAGAGAAGAAAGGCCATGAGTTACTAGTAGCCTCGCCTTGTTTCATTGATAAAGAAGAATGATCTGTTGACGATGGGTTTTCACCATTAGAACTGGAAACATTTGCAGTGGCGTCTTCTGCAGACACAAATAGGGGGCAAGGTTCGTCGTATTTTCCTTTGATAATAGTTAAACCAGGTGTCCTTTCTAGCCAACGAAATACATTGTATTGCAGAGTGCAGGCAGCAACAACCAGCACTTTTCCGCGTAGACCTGATTCTATACCCCAAAATCCAGGTTCATATACTCGAAGGCCCAGGTAGAATGACAACTCAGCATATCTTTGCCCAGGGAACATCTGAGCTTGCATGCCCCACAGTTGGAAAAGATACTCAGCAGACACGAGAAATCCAGTATAGATCAAAAATGATTTGGATGGTACTGAAGAAGACTTTGGGAAGGTTGTGCAGATGATAAGGCCAAGGAGATATACAAATCCAAACACACTGATTGGAGACAATGATGCATAAAACAATGCCGCAAACAAGATCTTCTGACCATGCCATACCAAAAATCTCTCAACAAAACCAAAAACTCCAGGATGAAGCAAACTGGATTGACCAGGAATGTAACGTCCACTTTGCCTCCTTTCGTAGCTGTAAAGTTGCATCACGACCAAGACAGCGAGAGATTCCCAAACATTATCTAGCAATGGTGCTCTGGAGTTGTAACCCAAATAAAAGTAGAGATCAATATACCCAGATAACCAAAGCTGCAAGCTGACAAAGCTACTTAAGCAGTAGATAAACATAAACACCAAAAAAGCATATGCTTTCAAAGGGAACCACAAGCGTCTCTTAGTTTCCTCAAACAGTTGTCTTCCAGTAACCCAGAGCAAGAGAAGGAAAATGTATCCAAACGATACATAATTGGGCTTCACCAGGTATACACTTATGAGAATAGTGATGAAAGCAATGTATGTTCCACATGATCGGTACATAGACAGAAACTTTTGCCCAATCGCACTCAGAAATGAAGCAATATGTCTCTCTGTAAGGAAAAAAGACAGTGATTCGTAAGCCTCTAATAAGAGAGTAGATACAAAACAGGTATGATGAACCACAATGAACAATTATAAGATTCTGACAGAGGTCACAGAATGTGCAACTTTTGAATTTCACAGTATGAAAGCTACTCCTAGAGCTACCCTCTAAAAATAGTGGCAGCAGGAACTAAATTTTATCTTGTTAGGTAGATACATGGACTTAAATGAAGACAGTAAGATAATAAATTTTACACCATGAGTCAATAAACTGGCAACTATTCCTTAAAGTTGGGAGCTACTACTGGGATTACTACGTGATCAAGAAGAGACGACTTTACAGTGCTAGAAAACATGAGGGTCGAGAGATAAAAGGTTGATAAGTATAATCAACGGTATGGCAAGGAAGCAAGGATCATCAGTTGAAGGACAAACTAAGACGTGAATATATCCCTAGTCAGTTGTTCCCTTCAAAGGAGACAACAATGAAGTTTTATACCATAAGTTGTATTATCCTGGCAATAACTTGAAGATGGAGATGAGTAGACGGACAAGAGAACTGATTTGTTGAGACCAGCTTTCAATATGCTAAATCCAACTGGAGGGCTTGGTGTATGTCGTACAATTGCTGAGAAGGAAAATAGCACCTCAAAACCATGATTATGGATAGCACAGAAGCAAGCAAGCAAGGCTATCTCCAAGAAGTCCCAAGAGCTTTCAGACCTAAGGAGACCTGCAATAATTCATACACAGAATTATCAGTCAGAACTAACCTAAGATCACCTAGCAGCTATATTCGAAAGGAAACTGATGATTTGTGAATCTAGCCTATAACTTGAAAATACAGAAAGAGTAGCATACCTAACTGAAACAGAACTTCTCTGCTCACAGAGCCTTGGCGCTTTAAAGAGTTCGACACAAGATCGATTTCAAGAATGTAGAGAAGTGCAAAATGAACTTCGCATAGAAGAATCAATGACTTGCGTATCTTTCTGTTGATGTTGTGGCTCAACAGATAAATAAGGAAGAATATCACTGAAAGTTAAGTCCATCAGGAAACATCCATATTTATGAATCGTTATTAGAAGAAGGGGAACAAACATACCATAGACTGCATGGACAAACCCAGGTTTCATGGCAATGAGGAAAATCAGTGCGAGCATAATAGCCCGTGAACATTTCCGCAATCCCCAAGCAATGGTGGCGACAACCAACACCTTTGTTTCTTCATCAGCTGTGATGATAATCTCAGCCGCTAAGAGCAGTTCTCAAATTGAATATAAAGCAGAAAACTAGAATTGCTACCCAAAATAAGAGTGAAATAAACAAAGCTTTTCCAATGAGATTACTAGTCTTACTTTTTCACCTTCAAAATCACAGAACACATAAACATTTTCAATGATTACTATATATCAAAATTTTCTTCAAAACATATAATAGAGCGGTGACTCTATGTCTCGGATTTCAGGTCACATGATGCAAAAAAAAAGATGATAGTTGATCGCGATAAACAAGTACACCCATCATTTTTCTCAATTTTAGAGGTCCTGACAAGCCTAGAAGTTGAAAAACACCAGATAACTTGCTTTGCAAAAAGAATTTGTGAGGCTATTACCTTCAGCATAAGATCTATCATTGGAAGATCTGGAGCTCTCTTCAGACAGGTAGAGAAAAACAGAGTTGTTCACAAGATTACCCAATGCAACCAACATTCCCAAACCAAATTGTGCAAGCAAAAAGAATCCAGGTATAGTGTAATGCCAAAGGCCGACCATCTCCCAAATTTTCATGTCCTACATATTATATGGCGAAGATAGTACCCTACCAACATTAGTTTCCTTTCAGAATACTTAAAATTTGCACATAACGGATAGCGAAGTATTACCTTTCCAACCTTAGTGTTCAAAAAGGAAAATGCCACATTGAATATGTACGTACTGACAGCCCATAAGAGTATAAATACAAGAAGAAGGCCATTTAATCTGTGCAAGCGGAACAAGGACGGGAAAGCATAGATAATGTAACCAACATATGCAAGGAGGCCAAACGCACACAAGCTCGCAAAATGAAAACTCCAGAACGAAAGAGCAAACAGAGAGACCTGGCAATCATGGAAGCAAATAATATAATAAAAGAGTGAATATTTTGACACAATACGTTGCTTGAGCATACATATACACTTTGATACCAGGATAAAAATATATACCGGAAAACCGTATGTGAAGAAATTGATACTGAACGTCTTAAACACAGCTCCCCTCAGCAGAACATTGGTGTGCCTTACACCTGCCCTGAAAATTGGGAACAAATTTACACATTAAGCAGAGCGTAACTATTACATTTGCATGCCTACTCTTGTATAGAACAAGTAAGAGAACATCCATTAGAATGTGTGAACTAGCTGTACTCCAATAGTTCATGCTAGCAACGAAACCAATCACAAAACTTTGTAATACTGAAAACCAAAAAGTTTCAGCCTTTTCAGAGGCTTTTTCATAAATCAAACTGTCCCACTTAATACAGTAACGTTCTATACCAACTTCTCATTTAAACTAAACTCCTCTTACATAGCCTAGAGATCACCAGAAAATTACATGACTCTTCCATTAAGCGATAGCCACGGATTATAGTTTTAAGAAGCCCAGACAGGAGAGTATCTACAGTCTACGACCACAAAACGAATAACCAAGTGAGCATATTCAACCAAGATTTTTCTTTCGCTTCAGAGTCATGAACTGATTAATACAAGTGAAATATTTTAAACAGACAAAATAAAATTTCTTTTCAACGCTACAATACCGTGAAACACTACAACAGCTCCTAGCAATGAAGAGACAGAACAAAACTATATACAGCATACCTTGACTCTCGAATAAAAAACGAATATTTTGGAGGAAGAAGACGCTCTGCCAAGTTATTATCAGTCGTGGACATGATAAAGTCCATATCCTCGAGGTCTGACCTTACATAGGAAAGCTGCAATTGCAGAAATAGTGATATAACCAGACGGGAAAACTATACTAGTTGTTGGTTACATATAAATATTAATGAAGTTGAGAAACAGTTCATCAATTATCTGGTGAGTAATAAAAGATTTTTTAATGGAAACCCCACAATCCACATGTGACTGTCAGTTTGGAGACTTGTGCGAGAGCAAGCAATACTAATCCTAGAGGGAAAAAGTCATACCATGATGAAGAATAGCAAAAGGAAAAGACCAGAACAAATATCAGGGCCTTCAGTTTCCGCAGAGATTCTGAATAGACCGATAAAGCTTGCTATCCATCGAATCATATCAGAAAAGTTTATTGGCAACTGATAGAGGTAAAGCAGGACGATGTTGAATCCTGAGTAGATGTAAAGAACTCTCCACCACCTTAACAATACAAAAGAAACGACTACAGTTCAGAAAAGCAGGATTGGGAAGCGCTAACTTAGCATAATAATCAACAAGTTATCAACCTGAAAAGTCCTGAAACGTTGCTTGTCAAGGACCAGTCCACAAGACCAGCACAGCTACCAATAAAAAATGGTAAGGAAACCCATGACGGATTGCAAATTCCCACTGCCAATTGAACTGCTGGTAACAACAAGCAGGAGGCAACCCTAAGATGACTTCCTGAGTCATAAACGATTGAGACAGTGTCAAACTAAGTTGGCATCAAAACAGAAAGAGAAAACGGTAGCACATAGAAGTGCTTATTCTTGTTAAAAATGACATTAATTAAGCAGAAAATGAGAAAAGTTGACAGTAACAATTTGGATAAGTCTTACGGTAGATAAATTACAAACCTAGGTGTTCAAAAACTTGTGAAAAGTGAGACCAACATGTGTCACGCAATCGAACCAAGCCGAATCTAGTACGGTATATGCCAGCTAAAGAAACTAGCGAAGTTAGTAGTTGTAAAGCCAAGAAATACAGAACAGTGGGGTTTGTCCAAGACTTGAATCTGCAAAAGGAAAGAGGGTATTATCAAGTAAAGAATAGAAGGAAGGGAGATGAAGGAAAGAGGTGTTACATCATAAAGCCAGTAATACGCATCCAGGCAGTAAGTGAAGTGTCCCAGTCTTGGCCTAGAGCATCCCAAATGACAAGGTACACCACTTGTGCAACAAAGATTACAGATGAAAAGAAGAAAAGGGGCCATAACAGCCAATGAAGCCTCCGGTATCCTGGGAAGAGAAAGCAGAAAAGATGAGGAGCTTATCAACAATTAACCAATAAAGGCCTAATTTGTGGAAATAAAACAAGTGTTACCAATATCAGGAGAAACATAGTGAAGGAGGAGAAAGGCAATCAAATCAACAAAGGAAATGAGACTCCAGTTAATAAGTGAGGCTGTGACACGAAAGAGAAAAGAGAGATGTTAACAGGTTTACAAGGAGTATCCATTAAAAGCAAATTTGATAGGTCTAAAAGGTGCTCTTCACAGCATATTAAGTAGATTCTGCTGATCAAGGAAGGACTAAACGAGGCAAATGGCCTTTTTAACTGCTGTTGAAAACCATAATTGCCAATCGAATGATGATGATGATATACCTGCGAGAAGTAGCCAAGGCAACAAGAAGCCGACCAGAAAACTCGCCATGAGTCTTAACGATCAGCAAGCATAATCCCAAATTATTTTAATCATAGAATCCAATAGATAGAGATCCCCTCTCAGAAGAGAAGAAGAAGAAATCAAAATCTTTCCCGAACGGAGGGGGGAATCGAAAGAAAGAAAGAAAGATGTTTATCGCTCGCAGCCAAGACAGGTAGATACACGAGTTCCAGAAATCGCCCAATCTAAACCCGACGTGGCCTCGGTTCAATTACATCCATTTAAAATCGAAAATGATGGTTCGTTCGGTTAGGACTGTACCGGTCATTTCCCTAAATCCAACCCAAATCAAATCAAATCAAAACCGTTGCTCCTTTATCGCTCTCAAAATCAATTCGGAGGAGGATGAGGTTTTGCTTGATTTCTCCGCCTCTCCGTGTATTCTCGTCGATTGCTCTCGCGCCCAGCTCCAATCTCAGTCATGGGCGGCTTCTCCTCCATACAAGAACTGCAACTCTCCGAATTCGCGCCACTGCTGACGACGGAGTGGAAGCTCCCGAGGTGGAGGAGGAGGAGGTTCAAACCGAATCTCCTATCCCTTCTGCACTCGGTAAAGACTTGAAAAAGGTACCATTTCTTTTTTAATCATAGATAGTAGAAGAATAGATGCAGAGAGCCTTGTTTGTTGTTGTTACTTTTGTAACTAAATTACTAAGCAAAAGTGATAGTGAAATTCAATTCAATTCAAATTAAAAAACAGGTGGTTAACAAGACTGCAGCAACCTTTGCCCCTAGGGCCTCCACCGCCAGTAAAAACCCAGCTCTCCCTGGAACTACTCTTTACAAAGTTTTTGAGGTTCAAGGTTATGCATCCATGTTGGTTGGAGGAGTCCTCTCTTTCAACCTCCTCTTTCCCTCCAACGAACCTGACTTATGGAGGTTGATGGGTATGTGGTCCATTTGGATGTTCACTATTCCTTCTCTTCGTGCACGTGACTGCCCTCTTAAAGAGAAAGAGGCTCTCAACTATCTTTTTCTCATCATCCCCTTACTCAATGTTGCTATTCCCTTCTTCTGGAAATCTTTTCCTCTTGTCTGGTCTGCTGATACCCTTGCCTTCTTTGCTATGTATGCCTGGAAGGTATGTATCTCCTTCCTTCCTTCACAATTCTCATTATTTATTATGGCCCTTTCTTCACTCTTTTTTTTCCCCCTCTTACTACTACAGCTTGGATGGCTGGAAAGAACCGAGTAGATGTGTAGACTGAAGATTCTTTGTATGCTCTTCTACATTCAGCTTCTCTGTGGGTGGTGAGTAGAGAGCATTATTGAATGTTCCAAGTTACGTGGGCTTAAAGGCAAACGAATGTATACAATGAAATATTGGTAATATTCTTAAGACTTGTCAGATGTGGCTTGTTTTCTTGGAAATACATTTACATTTTCTTATCAAGAAGCTGTAAATTTAAAGAAAATAAAACAACTCATTGCATCTGCATCCCGATGTATGTTGTTTCCTTCTTCTGTTGTACACATAAAACAATATAGGAGGAGGGTTCGTGTGTTTGGTTCTAGACTAAGCTATTTCGCATCTTCTCCGGTGTGTTCTCGATGTAAGCATCTGATTTCTTATTTATGCCATTTATAAGAGGCCTCAGGCCGAGTTATTTACTGCTTAGGCTTGGCTCACTCTTCTTCCCCTTGTTATGTAACCTCTTCTTTGGGCCCCTAGTAGTACACCATTATCCACTGTGATCACTGTCTCTCTCTCTCATTTGTTCTTGTGTTTGTTGTTATCCTCGAGTCTTCTATGTATTTGCTTCAAATGTACCGTGATATCAGACCTTGATCTCTTCTTCATCAGTTTGTTCCTCTCACTCTTATCTTCATTCATAACTTTTTCTTCGAATACTCCTAGTTTAGCCACCAGAAATCTAAACAGCCGTTGGCAAATGCCCGGAGGCGGTAGAGAGCTTCTGCTCTCATCATCCTCTCTTCTGTGCATTCTCTGTACTCTCAAGAAAGGGGTTTTCTTTACTCTATGGGATTCTTGTGTTAGGGAAGTGGTTTTTAGTGTAGTTCATGTAGAAATGAGTTCGGATTTTGCTTTGATTCTACGCTTGTGGGATGGGGAAATTGAGCCAATGGAAGCTATGTGTTTCAGAAAGAAAGAAACAAACAAACAAAACAATATCAGAATCTCTGGTTTCTTCTTCATGCTCATATGGTCAAGTTTCTTGTTTTTACTTGATTGAAACTGAACATCTTTGAAACTTGGGGCAAGTGAGCATAACAATTGTAGTAAAATTAGGTAAATGAAAGAAAAGAAAAAGGTTAGGAATGAACAAGAAAAGAAACACCAAACGTGAAGTATACGATCAAGGAAACCCAAAAAAAAAATAGGAAGAAAAAAACTCTGCCGACTCAGTAGATACCGTGTGAGACACTTTCCTACTCAGCTCACTCCGATATCCGGTGATGATGAGGCTTCACGATCTGCCACCGACTTTGCAGCTGATGATAGGAGACGCAGCCTCTGGACGCGCGGTGGGAGATGCTTTGTTGGTTTTCTTGACACTGGCGGTGTCCACGGCAAGAATACTCCAGTGCCAGCGTCTAGCCTCTTGGGAGCCGGAGCTAGCATCATCAACGGAGCTCTGACCATGCCGAATGGGTTTAAAACCGGGGGAGCTGGAGTGCCTTGCCGCCACAGGGTGACACGGTTCATGGTTAGCGGCGGTTGGGCCTTATTACTGGAGTCTGGTTTGAGTTTAAAGAAAGTGATTGCGACTCTTTTGTTTAGCGATGGACACATTACATGCCTAGCCATATTAGCGCTGTTACCTCTCATCACCAGCAACGATCTGCCAAATTCATTTCAGATCTTTGTTAATACTTGCGCGGATACAAAACCAATCAGTTTAAGGTAGAAAATGAGAGTTCCCCCCCCCCCCCCTTACGTACCCTTCCTTTAGTGGGAGAGTAAGTGAGCC